GCTGGCGAAACTAAAACCCTAATGCACTGTTGGTGTCAATGTAAAATGATGGGCCACATATGGAAGACAGTATTGAGAGGCTGCATCTGGTGATGGCCTTGAAATTGGCCATCACCCATTGGCCATTGCACAGGGCAACACATGGCAAGATACAGAGAGTATGCCAGTGCCTCCTTGGTCTCTGTCTTCTTTTAAAGCCTCCAGTATTCAGCCACTCTTAAGGGATCCACCCTGATGACCTCACCCTATCCTACTCAACTCCCAAAGGTGCTGATATCCTCAACTGCTCAAGTTGAAAACCTTCCCCAACAAAGAATAATATTCAAATCATAGTAATACACAATGAAGTATTATTGAACTTTAGAGATTTATTTACTTATTTGAAAGACAGAGAAGAGAGGCGGGGGGGGGGGGAGAGGAGAGAGAGAGAGAGAGAGGTCTTCCATCTGCTAGTTCACTCCCCAATTGGCTGCAAAGGCTGGAGAGCACCATTCTGAAGCGAGGAGCCAGGAACTTCCTCCGGGTCTCCCATGTGGGTGCAGGGGTCCAAGGAGTTGGGCCATCTTCCACTAATTTTCCAGGCCATTAGCAGAGACCTGGATTGGAAGTGGAGCAGCCGGGACTTGAACCAACACCCATATGGGATGCTGGCACTGCAGGTGGCAGCTTTACCTGCTACACCACAGAGCCGGCCTCACATTGAGCTTTAAAATGAAAATATTGACAAATGCTAAAACATGGATGAAAGTTGAAGACAGCATTCCATGAAATAAGCCAATAACAAGAGGCCAAATATTTTTTAGTCTACTCATATGAAGTTGCTAGAAGAGACAAATTTACAGAGACAGAAAGTAGAACAGTGACTGCCAGTGTCTGTGGTGGAAGGGAATAGGGATTTAGTGTTCAATGCATACAAATTTCCACCTGAGGGATATTTAAAAGTTATGCAGATGTATGGTATTGATGGTTGCAAAGTAATATCAATATCCTTAATGTCACAGAAATGCATGCGTTATTTGTCCAACAATATGTCATATTTTGTCACAATAAAATGCCTCTTTTTAAACAATGATCATCAATGATCATTGTTACAATTGATGTGTACATCTATTTTTCATTACTCATTTTGAAGTGACTACATAAAATAACACCATATAACAATTAAGGGATTAAAAGCTTGACAAATCATCTTTGAGCTAGAAACATACAATCCTGTATTAATATGCACTACAGAAAGAATCATACATATAAGCAAAAGTTTAAATTATTTTAAACATTATTTACTTATTTACTTTTATTTGAAAGCCATCAGAGTCAGAGAGAGAGATAGACAAAACATCTATCAGCTTATTCATTCTCCAAATAGCCACACTGGCCAGGGCTGGACTACACTGAAGCCAGATGCCTAGAATTCCAACTGGGTCTCCCATGTGGATGGCAAGGACCCATGCACTCGAGGAATCACCAGCTGCCTCCTGGAGTTTACAGAAGGAGGAAGTTGGAATTGGAAGAAGTCAGGACTCAAATTGCATACACTCCAAATATATTCAGGTGAGGCAAGAGTCATATTTCTCAAAGTTGTTACTGATTTATTTTAATTTTAATTTTTAGGCAGAGAGAGAAACAAAAAGATCTGGGCCAGCACCGTGGCTCACTTGGTTAATCCTTCACCTGTGGTGCCAGCATCCCATATGGGCATAATGGGTGCTGGGTTCTAGTCCCAGTTGCTCCTCTTCTAGCCCAGCTCTCTGCTGTGGCCCAGGAGGGCAGTGGAGGATGGCCCAAGTGCTCGGGCCCTGTACCCGCATGGGAGACCAGGAGGCACCTGGCTCCTGGCTTTGGATCGGCATAGCGCCGGCTGTGGCAGCCATTTGGGGAGTGAACCAATGGAAGGAAGAGCTTTCTCTCTGCCTCTCTCTCTCATTGTCTATAACTCTGATAGATTTAAAAAAAAAAAAAGAAAAAAAAAAAAAACTTCCATCTTTTTTTCTTTAAAGATTTATTTACTTATTTGAAAGTCAGAGTTACAGAGAGAGGGAGAGAAAAGGGGTGGGTGGGGGGAGGTCTTCCATCCACTGGTTCACTCCCCAGTTGGCTGAAATGGCTGGAGCTGTGCTGATCCGAAGCCAGGAGCTTCTTCCAGGTCTCCCATGCGGGTGCAGGGGCCCAAGTCCTTGGGCCATCTTCTACTGCTTTCCCAGGCCATAGCAGAGCTGGATCAGAAGTGGTGCAGCCAGGACTCAAACTGGCGCCCATATGGGCTGCCAGCACTTCAGGCGGCACCTTTACCTGCTACACGGCAGTGCCAGCCATCTTCTACTATCTGGTTCACTCCCTAAATACTCCCTTCTGCAAGAGCTCAGCCAGGCAAAATTCAGGAGCCTAGAACTTAGCTGGGTCTCCCATATGGGTGGCAGGATCTCAAATACTTTACCAATTATATTCTGTGTCACAGGATGCACATTAGCAGGAAAACGGATGATAAGCAGAGTGTCAGGGACCCAAATCAGGCACTCTGATACAGAATGTGGCCATCCCAAGTAACTTCAGATTTTGCTCCAAAGTCCAATTCCTGATAAGGCATATCTTGGGTACTGTGCCAAATGCTTAACACAGGAAAAAAATTAATGTGGTGTTCTATGTCTTTTTCTTTATGTATCTTTTAATTCTAGTTCACATGTATCCATTTAATTTCTGAATGCTTTCTCCAACTGATCACTATGTGCCACCACATCCCACAGGGATTGAAGCTCATCATTGAGTTAATATTCTATTCCAAAATTTTTAAAAGCGACATTATTGGGGCCAGTGCTGTGGTGTAGCCTGCAAAGCCGTCACCTACAGTGCCAGCATCCCAGATGGGCGTTGGTTCAACTCCCGGCTGCTCCACTTTAAATCCAGCTCTCTACTGTGGCCTGGGAAAGCAGAAGATGATAGCTCAAGACCTTGGGGCCCTGCATCCATGTAGGTGACCTGGAGGAAGCTCCTGGCTCCTGGCTTTGGATTGGCTCAGTTCCAGCTGTCACAGCCATCTGGGGAACAAACCAGCAGATGGAAGACCTCTCCCTCTCTCTGCCTCTTCCTCTCTATAACTCTGCCTTTCAAATAATTTCTTTTAAAGTGACATTTTCAATATCAAAAAGGAAGTTTTTCTTTATGAGAAAGAACTCCTTTTAAACACTGCAAGTGGCATTAAAATAAATAGTATTTTAAAATAAATATCAAGATTTGACACCAAATAAAATTTGACATGAGGAGTCCAAGAGAAATCTCGCTTTGGTGACATGTAAGTGCAGAATTAATGCTGTGGTTTCATTTTAGACTCTGCACTTGAGATTACATTTGTATAGTGACAAAGAAGTATTCAACAGAGAGTAGAAACTATGCTCAAAAGCTATAGAAAAAGCCTAACCTGGAGGGACACTGGAGTGCCAGACCACAGAGGGCCAAATGTGTCAAGAAGCCATGCGGGCAGGCATTGTGGCATGGGGGGTATAGTTACCACCTGCAAGGCTGGTGTCCCCACATGGATGCCAGTCCACATCCTGGATGCTCTACTTCCAATCCAGCTCCCTACTAATGGCCTGGGAAAGAGCAGTGTAAGATGGTTAACCGTTTAGGCCCCTGCTACCCACATGGGAGACCTGGATGGACCTCCTGGCTCCTGGTTTTAGCCTGGCCCAATACTGGTCATTACAGCCATCTGGAAAGTAACCAGCAGATGGAAGATCTCTCTCTCTCTCTCTCTGTGTCTCTCCCTCTCTCTCTCTCTTTCAAAATAAATCTTAAAAAAAAAAAAAGTTAAAAAGAATTGCAGGGTGAGATGAATGGAAGAGCACACAGAATAGAATGATACTAAGAAGAAAGTAGAATTTAAGGAGAATGACAAGAAGCCATTAGTGAAGTCAGGAGAGAAACAGAGTTTTCAGAAAATGTATGGTAGCTTCAAATATGGCAGAGAAAAAAATGAAAAGGCATTTAGCACAGTGCTTAAAAATGTCAGTTAAGATACCCTTCTCCTTCTCAGCTCTGCTCCTGATTTCAGTTCCTTGCTAATATAAATGCTGGGAGTCAGTAGTGATGACTCAAGTAACTGTGCTTTTGTCACTAAACTACACTGCGGGTTCTTGGCTACCAGCTTTGATTGCTGTAGGTATTTGGGGAGTGAATCAGTAGATAAAAGCTCTGCACCTTTTGTCTCTTTTAGTCTACCTACCTCTTTCTTTCTTGGTGTATTTGTATCTCTAAGAAAATATATATATATAAAATTTTAAAAGGCAAACGATTCAAGTAAGGCAAAGACCAGAGAATAGTCGTTGGCTTTGACTACACTTTATATTATTGGTAAATGAAGAATTAAGATTACTTTGAGTAGCTGCAAGTCCAAATAAAGAATGGAGTAACTTGCCTGAGGATATACCATTGGGAGGTCTGCAGCACAATCTGCATCTATGGACTGGCTGAGAGAAATATATGGAAAGTTACAAACAAACTGTGTCCTCTTCACATTACCAATCCCACCCATTAATCCAATACAGCTTCCCAGAAGCTACTGAGGATCATACTATTTCAATAATTCCAAAAAAAACCTATTACTAACTGACTTGTGTTTTACCACTGCGTAACTCTTTATCACAGCCGAATGCTCAGTGTTTATTTCCAAGTTGGTACTAAAACACTGCCCAACATATGACCTAATAAAAGCCCAATAAAGCTTGTTTCAGACATTGTATCCCACAAGAATTTAGTAAATTCTAGGTTTCAATTTGAATGTTTAGCAAATGTGTCTTTTGGTTATGACATCAGAAAGACCAGAGACCAATTTGCAATCAGCTTAGATATGTCTAATGTCTTATAATCATGACAGTTATACCTTGTTTATGTATATTCTACGATGTTGAATTATGGCTACTTTTACTATTCTATTTTAATTAAATCCCCATTAGTCCTCTAAAATTCAATGTAAAACAAGCTGAGCAATTAATAAACAAACAACTTACAGGAGGCATATTCACTTTCATTGTCCTTGGAAACATTTACAGGTCTCTAGAATTATATCTGGAAGAGAAGGTGAAGAGAGAACTGTGAGAGACTTGCTCCTACATTCTCCTGTGCTAAGCAAGACCCTGATAGAGATGAATGCAGAGCAACAGACATATTAGCTGGAGAAACAACCAGCCTCCCTGTGGAAGATCAGTACTCACTTACCAAAAGGGACAGGAAAGACTTCCTTGAAAGAACATTCACAATTTTATTAATTGGTAGAGATTAAATACAAACTATCTTTAAGAGAATGAAAACTGTCGGGGCTGGTGGTATGACGTGGTGGGTAAAGCCACTACCTTCACGGCTGGCATCCAACATGTGTGCTGGTTCATGTTCTAGATGCTCCACTTCCAATCAAGCTCCCTGCTAATGGCCTGGGAAAAGCAGTAGAAGATGGCCCAAGTGCTTGGACCCCTGCCGCTCATATGAGAGATCTGGAAGACACTCTTGGCTCCTGCATTAGGCCTGTCCACTGCAGCCACCTGGGGAGGGAACCAGTGATTGGAAGAACTCTGTCTGCCTCTCACACTCTCTCTGTATCTCCTTCAGATAAATAAAGTAATCCTTTAAAAAATTGTTATTGCTAAAATTTTAAGGATTGTTATTCAAATAAACTGTAGTGTATCATGGCCGGCGCCGCAGCTCACTTGGCTAATCCTCTGCCTGCAGTGCTGGCACCCCGGGTTCTAGTCCCGGTTGGGGCCCTGGATTCTGTCCCAGTTGCTCCTCTTCCAGTCCAGCGCTCTGCTGTGGCCCGGGGGGTCATTCGGAGGATGGCCCAAGTGCTTGGGCCCTGCACCCGCATGGGAGACCAGGAGGAGGCACCTGGCTCCTGGCTTCGGATCGGCGCAGCGCACCGGCCATGACGGCCTTTTGTGGGGTGAACCAACGGAAGGAAGACCTTTCTCTCTGTCTCTCTCTCTCTCACTGTCTAACTCTGCCTGACAAAACAAAAAAACAAAAAAACTGTAGTGTATCATAGAAGCATCATGCTGTCACTAAAATCTATACTAAAAAATACTTTGGTGGTATTATTTTCCTCTTAATTAGATGTACCACATAGAACTTCATGTTAGCAATTTCAGTAGAACATCTCATGCTTTTTATACCTAAAATTCCACATAAAGTATGTATCTCACAATTTTGCCTACAATTATACAGAGAAAAATGAATGTTACTGTAGACCTTTCCAGTAATTTTTCCAAGTGACACGCCTCCCCATATTGAAGCCTTCAAATTGTCCCTGCCACAATGATCCTTGGCTTTGGCATTTTGCTTGCTTTAGCCAATGGGACATCAGTAAAGATGACAACAACAAATTTTGAAAAGAATTTGCCTACTTGAGTTACCCCTTATTGGATAGCCACCTTTTGAAGAAATCTGGGACTTGCTTGTGAGAGACACAGGGCCTTGGTAAGAGCCAAAACAAACTACCAGACATGGGGGCAAGAGGTATTGGGATACAACAATTAAGCTGTAATTTGGACACACCACTTCCCATATAAAGAATGCTTAGTTTGTATCCCAGCTATTCCACACTTCCAATTCAACTCTGAATAAATGTGCTTGGAAGGCAGCTGATAATCGCCCACTAGTTGGGTTTCTCTCACAATAACATGGGAAATGGAAATCTTACTTCCTGGATTCACTGTGGCCAATCCCTTAGCTGTTGCTGGCATTTGAGAAGTGAACCACAAGAATGAAGATGTGTGTGTGTGTGTGTGTGTGTGTGTGAGACAGAGACTGACTTCAAAATAAATAAACCAATAATTAAAAACCACCCCAGACATGTTAGTAAAATAATCCTAAAAGCACCAGTCTCAATAATGACACAAAATAATCAGACCCTCACTTGTGGTACTGTAACTCCAGCATAGGATGTTTTCAGCTGAGCCCACTACAAAATGCTGACTTAGAACTACAGGCCGGTGCCGCGGCTCACTAGGCTAATCCTCCGCCTTGCGGCGCCGGCACACCGGGTTCTAGTCCCGGTTGGGGCGCCGGATTCTGTCCCGGTTGCCCCTCTTCCAGGCCAGCTCTCTGCTGTGGCCAGGGAGTGCAGTGGAGGATGGCCCAAGTACTTGGACCCTGCACCCCATGGGAGACCAGGATAAGTACCTGGCTCCTGCCATCGGACCAGTGCGGTGCGCCTGCCGCAGTGAAAGTATAATGTACTCTAATTTTAAAAAACTGGAAATAGACTCATACTAAATTTATGTAGTATTTGATTGTCAAGAATGAATAACTGGGGCCAGCGCTGTGGCGTAGCAAGGGAAACCCGCTCCTGCAGTGCCAGCATCCCACACAAGCGCCGGTGCAAGTCCCGAGTGCTCTACTTCCAATCCAGCTCTATCATATGGTCTGGGAAAGTAGTAGAAGATGGCCCACGTCCTTGGGGCCCTGCACCTAAGGCTTCAGATGGGCCCAGCTACAGTCGTTCAGGCCATTTTAGCGAACTGCCACCTGCAGTGTCAGCATCCCATATGGGTGCTGGTTCGAGTCCTAGCTGCTCTACTTCCTATCCAGCTCTCTGCTATGGCCTGGGAAAGCAGTGGAGGATGGCCCAAGTCCTTGGGCCCCTGCATCTGCATGGGAGACCTGGAAGAAACTCCTGGGGGCCAGCGCCGCGGCTCACTAGGCTAATCCTCCACCTTGCGGCGCCGGCACACCGAGTTCTAGTCCCAGTCGGGACGCCGGATTCTGTCCCAGTTGCCCCTCTTCCAGGCCAGCCCTCTGCTGTGGCCAGGGAGTGCAGTGGAGGATGGCCCAGGTGCTTGGGCCCTGCACCCCATGGGAGACCAGGAAAAGCACCTGGCTCCTGGCTCCTGCCATTGGATCAGCGCGGTGTGCCGGCCGCAGCGCGCCAGCCGCAGCGGCCACTGGAGGGTGAACCAACGGCAAAAGGAAGACCTTTCTCTCTGTCTCTCTCTCTCACTGTCCACTCTGCCTGTCAAAAAAAAAAAAGAAAGAAAGAAAAAAAAAATAAAGAAACTCCTGGCTCCTCGCTTTGGATTGGTGCAGCTCCAACCGTTGTGGCCAACTAGGGAGTGAACAAGCAGACGAAAGACCTCTCTCTCTGCCTCGCCTTCTCTCTCTGTGTAACTCTGACTTTCAAGTAAAATAAATAGATCTTAAAAAAAAAGAACGGAAAGAGGATCTTCACTATGCTTCTAAATCTGTATATATTAAATACATGAAACTAGTATAACTTAAATAACATTTAAAAAAATAAAAAAGGAAGTCAGATCAACATCCAATACCGTAATTTTTCTCATAGAACTCACTGTCTTTGGAAACTGGATTGTTTACAAACTTTTATAAACTCAAACTCAAACTGAGGCAGGCTATACACAGGAAGAGAACAAAATCTTTTTTTTTTTTTTTTGTCTGTTTTTATTTATTTGACAGAGTTACACAGTGAGAGAGACAGAGAGAAAGGTCTTCCTTCCATTGGTTCACCCCCTAAATGGCCACTACGGCCAGAACTACACCAGTCCGAAGCCAGGAGCCAGGAGCTTCCTCCCAGTCTCCCATGCAGGTGCAGGGGCCCAAGCACTTGGGCCATCCTCCACTGCCTTCCCGGGCCACAGCAGAGAGCTGGAATGGAAGAGGAGCAACCGGGACCAGAACCCGGCACCCATATGGGATGCCGGCACCGCAGGCGGAAGATTAACCAAGTGAGGAGCCATGGCACCGGCCCCAAGAACAAAATCTTTGCTTGTAATGAGGCACCACAAAACCCTGCAAACAGAACCACTCCACAGCAAGAAAGCTTATACATACTTATCAGTCCTGAGAATTTGGGATATCAACCTGGTACTATTGAATGCTATAGATGATAAACCAACATCACAGAGGCCAGTAAACTAGACTCACACCACACACCTCTTTACTTGCTCTTGTAGTCTGCAGATTTCTCTTGCACCTTTGCAATGTTCAACTGACCACATCTGTGAAGTTTTTAGAACCAGCTTCTTCACAGCTGAAGACCACACTGGCCTTCCAGCAAGGCATCCCTCTCTGACAAAGGAATTAATGGAAACGCAGGCTATGGTGCCTTCCCTGGCTCCAAGTCCGAGGATCCAATGCCAGTGTGGCCTCTCCCAAAGACTGAAGACTGTGGCTCACAGCTCAATGTCAGCATTCACCCACTTAAGAACCATGGATGTTTCTACTTCCAATAAGTAAAGAGAGCTTGTCTCACTCCTCAAGATTCCCCCTGTTGCCTGTGGGGCCCACCTTTTCCCCAGAAACCATCCTTCAGAATTCACTTAGAGTCTATGCAGCAGATAGCAGCAGAGTTTTAGGGCTTGAAATTACTCAGGCAGGAGTGGGAAAAATGACTCATGAGAAAAAGAACCTGAAAAAACTCCTTCCAATGGTTCTGTGCTGGTGATATCATGGCAGGGGAAGATTTATTTCCCACAAGCGTCTGCCCTCCTCCATTACAAAATAAGAGTAATAATCTGTATGTTTCCTGGGCATTCAGCCTTGCGGTCATACATGGTGCATCTGAATCCATCTCCATCCATGTATTAACCATACAGGATTATGAAGATTAATTCAGGGGCTAGCACCGTGGCATAGTAGGTTAAGACCCTGCCTGCAGCACCAGTATCCTATATGGGAGCCAGTTTGTGTTCCAGCTCCTCCTCTTCTAATCCAGCTCTCTGCTAATGGCCTGGGAAGGCAGTGGAAGATGGTCCAAGTCCTTGGGTCCCTGTGCCCACATGGGAGACCTGCAAGAAGCTCCTGGCTCCTGATCAGCTCTGCTCCAGCCAATGTGACCATTTGGGGAGTAAAACAGCGGATGAAAGACCTCTGTCTCTGTCTCTCCCTCTCCCTTGCTGTAACTCTGCCTTGACTTGACAAACTCAGCATCTGAAAGATGAGCTATGAATGGGGCAGTGTAAATGTGGGCACAGTGTTTATAACTGTCACTAATTTTATATTCATTTTTAGTTCTGACAGTTATAGAACACACATCTACTGCCTAGAAATGCATGCTTGAAGTGAGGAAAGGAACACTATTTTACTTTACAATCCTTAAATGAGAAATTAGTATGGCTATGATAATTCATGTCTAACCCTTTTGAAAAAATGCTTGCTCTCATCTACTAAAATAATTGGTGATACATCCATGGACCATATGTCTCAGTTGGAAAAACTCTTCTAGTGCATACACTGAAATAATGAGTCTTAATGTGTGTGCAATTCAACTTTATTGTGCAAATATAAAACTTTTAGAGTCTGGTAAGTAAATACCTAGAATTCCTTAAATTCTTCTGTCCACTCATCTATCCATCCATGTAACAAAATATCATTTACTGCTCTGAGAGCTGAACCTGAACTGTCAATTTGCTGGGTGCTGCCACCAACTAGGCAAGGAGGTCAACACAAGGATTTCAGGGAGTTCCCACTACCAGTGCTGCTCCTTTGTAAATAAGGATTGTCAGAATTGATATGAGCTCGAGTGGGAGTAGGAGACGATACTAATACTTGGCCCATAGCCCATCCCTGGTTTTTGCTATACTTTTTTTTTTAAAGATTTATTTATTTATTTATCTGAAAGTCAGAGCTACACAGAGAAGGTGAGGCAGAGACGATACTAATACTTGGCCCATAGCCCATCCCTGGTTTTTGCTATACTTTTTTTTAATTTATTTATTTATTTATCTGAAAGAGCTACACAGAGAAGGTGAGGCAGAGAGAGAGAGATAAGTCTTCTATCCTCTGGTTCAGTCCCCAAATGACCACAATGGCTGGAACTGCACTGATCCAAAGCCAGGAGCCAGGAGCCTTTTCCAGGTCCCCCATGTGGGTCCAGGGGCCCAAGGACTTGGGCCATCTTCCACTGCTTTCCCAGGCCATAGCAGAGAGCTGGACTGGAAGTGGAGCAGCTGGGAGTCAAACCGGCACCCATATGGGATGCCGGCACGGCAGGCAGTGGCTTTACCCACTATGCTACAGCGCCGGCTCCTTCTCTATACTTAAGATGATTTCCCTGCTCAAATTCCCAAATCTTCTCTAACCCTGCTATTGCACTTGAGTGACTATTCATTCTGTAAATACAGGAACCTCATTCTTGAGGTTCCAAGCCTAGCTACCTCCACCTCAGATCAAAGAGGCAATTGTACGGGAGGAAAAGAGGGGGAGGGAGGGAAGGAAGAAAGGAATGTCATTATATTATTACAATTTTTTCTCTACAAACTACATTGAATCTGTTAAAAAAAAAACTAATTACTAAACTAATTTAAAATTTAAAAAAGCAATTTTTGCCCTGAAATATAAATATCAAAGTCATATTACTTAAAATGGAAGATGAACTTTCAGGGATCAAAGAAATAGCTCAGTACCATGAAGAAGTAGGTCCTCAAATGCTTTCCCAGGAATTGTTGCTTTTGGTCATCACACAATGCTGGCAGAAGTTGTGCCTGTTGAGTTTGGAGATAAAGATTCCATGACAAGTCCTGAGAAGAAAAAAAGTGAAAAGACCATACTCACTGACAGTCGGCTAATCTTAGGCAACTCATTTTTCTGTTCCATGTAATGACTGGACTTTATAATTTTGAGCACTGAGGCGAATGACAAAATTTCTAGTGATCAATTTGTACTGAAGGGAGAGGAATATACAGTCTCTGTATAAAGACAAAGGAAGTGCGGGCCAAAGAGTGAGACTAATTAAGACTCCTACAAGGATTATGACCTGAGGTTAATATTTTCTTTTTCCTAAGGTTTACTTATTTATTTGAAAGACAAAGCAACAGACAGATAACGAGAGAAGACAGAGAGAAAGAGACAGATATTCTCCTTCTGCTTGTTTAATCCCCAAATGGCCTTAATAGCCAGATATGTACCCAGGACAAGGCCAGGAGCCATGAACTCCGTCAGGTTCTTCTACTTGGGTGTCAGGGATCCAAGTACTTGAGCCATCCTCCACTGCCTTCCCAGGTACATTAGCAGGAATATGGATCAGAAGCAGCATAAATGGGCCTCAAACTTGCCTTCCAATATGGGATGCCGCATCACAAGCAGTGACTAAAACTACTCAGCCACAATGCTAGCCAGTCCTTAAGGTTGCTCTTTTCTTATTCATCATTAGTAAAAATGCTTTTACTAGGTACCTGTTTTTTCTGACCATGTTTTTTTTTCTATTCTTTTATTTCATATTTATAGTCTTTAAAAAGATACACAGACAAGATTAATGTCATGTTTCCCCCACAAAACCTTGATCCTGAATCAACATTGTCATTCATCTAACTTATATGCTCGATGATGTTATTGTATTTAAATCCATATCTAGGTCTATATTACACACACACACACACAGTAACCTGGAGGAAAGTAACATTTTATATGGCTTTGAATTTGAAGACTACAATATGGAGTACAACTTAAAAATGTGGAAAAATGCAATATATCCTTTTTACAATTTATCAGAAATCATAACTTCCTCTTTTTTTAAAGATTTATGTATTTATTTGAAAAGTAGCATTAGAGAGAGAGAGAGAAGAGACAAAGACATCTCTGGTTCACACAAAGGACTAAGCCAAGCCAAAGTCAGGGGTTTCATCTGGGTCTCCCACATGGGTGCATCCACTGCTTTTCCAGGTGCATTAGCAGGGAACTGGACTGGAAGTAGAGCAGCTGGAACTGGAACCAGCATCCACATGGGATGCCGGCATGGCAGGCAGCAATTTAACCCACTGCACCACAGTGCCAGCCCCAGAAATCATAACGTTCTTAAGTAGCACAATTGAGATATAAATACAACTCACTTGCCTTGCAATCCACGCATTAAGAGTGCACATACAATTCACTCTTTCAGTTGTATGTAACATCACCACTGTCAATTACAGAACGTTTTTTATCACTTCAAAGAAAAAGGTGGGGTCACTCTAGTGGCAAAGATGCTGCTTGAAAGAAGCACATCTAAGGATGTCTGGGTTTGAGTTCCAGCTACACTCTTGAGTTGATTCCAGTTTCCTGGTAATGCTCAACCTGGGACTACATCACTGAGAAGGCAAACGCTTAAGCAGCTGGGAAAAGTTAAGCCATCTTGAAGATCTATACTGCATTCTCAGCTCCCAGGTTTTTTTTTAAGATTTTAAATATTTATTAAGTAATTTGAAATGCAGAGAGAGAGCCGGCACCGCGGCTCACTAGGCTAATCCTCCGCCTAGCGGCGCCGGCACACCGGGTTCTAGTCCCGGTCGGGGCGCCGGATTCTGTCCCGGTTGCCCCTCTTCCAGGCCAGCCCTCTGCTGTGGCCAGGGAGTGCAGTGGAGGATGGCCCAGGTGCTTGGGCCCTACACCCCATGGGAGACCAGGAAAAGCACCTGGCTCCTGGCTCCTGCCATCGGATCAGCGCGGTGCGCCGGCCGCAGCGCGCTGGCCGCGGCGGCCATTGGAGGGTGAACCAACGGCAAAGGAAGACCTTTCTCTCTGTCTCTCTCTCTCACTGTCCACTCTGCCTGTCAAAATAAATAAATAAATAAATAAATAAATAAATAAATAAATAAATAAAAAAGAAAAAAAAAAAAAAAGAAATGCAGAGAGAGAGATTTCGCATGCTGGTTCAGTTCCAAAATGCCTGGCACTGGGTCAGGGACAAAACAAGGAAGAATCTGTTGCTTCTCATGCACATCGGCAGACAGCTGGACTGGAAGAAAAGTAGTCAGGAACCAAATGGACACTCTAACAGGGGTGTAGGGTCGCTTAACTGGCTGTGCTAATATGCCTACTTTATCAGCTCTCAGCTTTAAATCGCCTTAGCCTCACCTGATGTGAACATTTGGGGAATGAAATCAGCATAAGGAGTGGTTCTATCTTCTTTCTCTCTGTCCTTGCTTCTAAGATAAATAAAAATACATTAGTTTTTTTTTTTTTTAAAAAGTACTCTTTTGCTATCTCCTTTGTACTGCCAGTATTTCCAACCCAAAGCCATCACAAATGTGCTTTCTATACATTTACCTACTATGCATGTAATGGAAGAGAAGGACCAAATGTCCTCATGCCCAATACAGAGCTTCTGTCACTCAAGTGGGGTCTGCATCATACCTCCCAGCTGCATTCACCCAGAACATAGTTCTAGATAGTTCTAGCAGCTGGTAACTGGGGACATAGGAAATGAGGTTCTTTCCCTTCAAACAGCAGCTGGCAGCAGCAGGGCCTTGTGTTCTCAGTTGCACTTTATGGAGTGGAATTTCCATTTCACTGAGTCAGGACAGGAAAGGATCAAGTCTGGATTCAAATAGCACTGAGTCTCCCTACTCTTTCCAAATCTTAGATTTTCTTGAGTTAATATTTCTTCATTTGATTTCTTGTGACCATTTCTAGAGATTACAAGGATACTTCTTGCTTTGTCTTAAAATATTTTTTATCAATTCTACCGTAATGAGTGTCCACACATACTGTCAAGGCAGAATTGTCATTAGGAAACATGTAATGTTAATGCTGGCATGCTCAGTGAATTATTGTTTATAACTGCCTCAAAGTACACACATAAGTTAAAGAGAGTTAATCAACTGCCAATCTCTTACAAATGACACACATAATTAATTACGTGAGTGCCTTGGAGGCTTTGCAGATGACCTATGTCACTGTAACACATAATTGCTATTGTAAATTCTGTAAGAAGCCAACGCCGTGGCTCACTAGGCTAATCCTCCGCCTTGCGGCGCCGGCACACCGGGTTCTAGTCCCAGTCGGGATGCCGGATTCTGTCCCTGTTGCCCCTCTTCCAGGCCAGCTCTCTGCTGTGGCCCAGGAGTGCAGTGGAGGATGGCCCAAGTACTTGGGCCCTGCACCCCACGGGAGACCAGGATAAGTACCTGGCTCCTGCCATCGGATCAGCGCGGCGCGGCGGCCATTGGAGGGTGAACCAACGGCAAAAGGAAGACCTTTCTCTCTGTCTCTCTCTCTGTCCACTCTGCCTGTCAAAATAAATAAATAAATAAAAATAAATAAATAAAATTCTCTAACAGCCATCCCCATGTTCACTTAACTGCTAAGTATCAGTGCAGGCGGTGACAACACACATGATGATAAATCTGAAAAACTAAGTATTAGAAGTGATTGTCAGGGCTGCCGCCGTGGTGCAGTAGGTTAAGCCTCCACCTAGGGCGCTGGCATCCCATATGGGCAACAGTTTGAGAACCCACTTCTCCACTTCCAATCCCACTCCCTACTCATGGCCTAGGAAAGCAGTGGAAAATGGCCCAAGTGCTTGGGCACCTGTACCAAGTGGGAGACCTGGAGGAAGCTCTGCATGTCAAATAAATAAATAAATAAAAATTTGAGCAGGTAATTAAGGTCAACTGATATAATAAGAGTGAGGCCCGAATACAAACTGACCTATGTCCTTATAAGGAGACACAGAGAAAATACCAAGTAGGGTACTGTGTGGTAGCCAGGAAACAGGCCCTAGGAGGACCAAACCTGCTATCATATATATATGATCATAAACTGTCAACCTCTACAAGTATAAGAAATAAATTTCTGTGATTTAAGTCACATATTCTGTGGCAACCCTAGCAAACTAATATACTTTGATCTCCACCAAAATTTCTTGCAGTAAACTAGATTGCCCCCACTATTATCTGAGAAAATAAAAATTAAAATCTGACTTCAAGTGGCTAAATATCTAAAAAATAAGATTTTAAATAAATGAACAAACTACTGTTCTCTCAAGGACAAGAAACAAGAATAAGCAAAATTCAAAAAGGGCAGTAGACAGAACTAAATAATAAAGATTGGAGTGAAATTGAACCGCCATAATGTAGAAGCAAAACCCAGCCTCCCTTAGCCCAAGATGTCCTTGCCTGCCTTTTATCAAAAGGAATTCACTGACTTAAGGGAGTGATTCAGCTGGCCTTACAAGATTCATTCTAATCAACAAATTCAAGGAGTCATCTGCTTTTCCAATAGATAAGAACCTAATGGCCAGTATTGTCCTGGGGTGATTTCTGTAGCAGAATTCCAGGACCAGAAAGAATGTAGCTGCCACCTGCATGTAACCCCCAGACCAACTGGAGCCTACCTAGCCAGCATAAATTGCCTAAACAGCGCAGCATGACCAATTAAAAGATCATGAACTCCACTGACCAACTAGTAACTTGGACCCGAGATGACCGCACACCTATCACCCCAACTTCAATGTTTACACTTAACTCCTTGGGGAGCCCAGGAATTAAGCAATAGCTGCCCAGCTCCTTGCTTTGCACTTTACAATAAATACTTGCTTTCTTCTACCACCTCAATGTCAGTGATTGGCTTTCTGTGTGAAGGGTGAGTGCATCCATTTTGGGGGTTCTACAGCAATGCCTTCAACCAGTTTGGGGTGGTGTTTGGCAACAAGAGCCAAAATAAATGAAAAATAATATTAAACAGTATTAAAGGTGAAGGTAATGGAATCGGTTTTTTGAGAAGAAAACAAAATTAATAATTCTTTAGGTAGACTAAAACAAAAAAGGAAATATTGCAACTGAAATCACAGAAATACACAATGGATCTTAATGACTACTACAAGCAATTTCAGAGGTTGGCACTGTGGCATAGCAGGTTAAGCTTCTGCCTGTGGTGTCAGCATCCCATATGGGTACCCATTTGTGTCCCGGCTGCCCCACTTCTGATACCGCTCCCTGTTGATACATCTGGGAAAGCAGTGGAAGATGGCTCCAGTCCTTGGGCCCATGCACCCACATGAAAGATCTGTAAGAAGCTCCTGGCTCCTCACATCAATCTGGGCCAGCTCTGGGTACTTTCAGCCATTTGGGAAGTGAACCAGCAGATGGAAGACCTCTCTGTCTCTCCTTCATGCTGTCTATAACTCTACCTCTTAACTAAAAAAAGTAAATGTTTTAAAAAAAAAAAAAAAAGGAGCCACAATAAACCAACAAGTTAAACATGACAGAATAAATGGTTAGCTTCTGGATACGTATCACCTATCAAAGTTGAAACAGACAGATATGGAAACCCCAAATAGACCAATGAGCTACAAGATGAAATCAGGAATTTAAAAAGTCTCCAAATAAAAGGGCAGTATTAGATGCCTTCACTAGTAAAGTCTACCAAATTTTTCAAAATGGATACCATCAATCCTCAAACTATTCCAAAAACCTGAAAGGCCTCATCCTGTGAGGCCAGCATTGCCTAGGTACCACAGCCAAAGTGAACCAGCAGATAGAAGACCTCTATTTGTATGTCTTTTAAATACACACACACACACACACACACACATCAATATGCCTGATGAATATAGATGCAAAATTTTTCCTCGTAATACTAGGAAATCCAATCCAACAGCACATTAAAAAGCTCAAACATCATAATCAAGTTGGTTTTATCCTGGGGATGTAGGGAATGGGTCAATTTATGCAAATGAATAAATCAAATAAATTACATCAATAGGATGAAAAATAAAAATCATCCTAATCATCTCGATAAATGAAGAAAAGTATTCAATAAAATGCAACACTGATTTATGAGCAAAATTCTGAGCAAGACACTTATACAAGGAACATACCTCAACACACACAAAAATCCTATCTATGATAAATCCACAGCCAATATTCTACTGAATGACAAGAAACTGAAAACATTTTAAGATCTGGAACCAGTCAAGAGTGTCCAGCCTCACCACTGTTGGTCAATATTGCACTACAAAGTGTGGCAAAAAAAAAAAAAAAAAAAAAAAAAAAAAGGCAAATGAAGACATACACATGGGAAAGAAAAAATTCAATTATTTCTCTTTCCAGATGACATAATTCTGTATGTAAAGAAATATAATGACTCCATCAAGAACTGATCAATGAATTCAGTAGAGTTACAAGATGCAAAATGAACACAAAAGAATCAGGAGCACTTTTATAGGAATGATTAAATTCACAATAACTACATGAAAATAGAATACCTTGGAATAAATTGAACACAGGATGTGAAAGACCTCTACCAAAAAAAAAAAATCCAAAACACTGGTGAAATAAATTGAATACAGGAAAGATGGAGGGGCCAACCTCCTTTAGCAGGTAAAGCTGGCTTCATCTGGCCCAGACCTGGCCATTGTGGCCATTTGGGGGGAGAAACAGGAGATGGACGATCTCCCTTTCTCTCTGTGTATCTGTGTGTCTGTGTGCCTCTCTCAAATTAATAAAATTTTATAAACAAAAAAAAAATTTTAGAAACAAAAAAAGGAAAGACTTCACATGTCCCAAATGGGAAGAATTCATAGCTTCCATGCCACACAAAGTAATCTAAATATTCAACACAACTGCCATCAAAACACCAAATAACTTCTCTACAGACGAGAAAAAAATAAAATCAATATGGAGGGGCTGGCACTGTGGCACAGGGGCTTAAAGCACTGGCCTGCAGCACTGGCATCCGATATGGGCACAGGTTCGAGTCCCAGCTGCTCCACTTCCCATCCAGCTCATGCTAATGCACCTGGGAAAGAAGCAGAGGATGACCCAAGCGCCTGGGGTCAATGCACCCACTGGGAGACCCAGAAGAAGCTCTAGGCTCCTGGCTTTGCATCAGCCCAGCTCCACGCATTGTGCCATTAGGGGAGTGAACCAGCGGCTAGAAGACCTCTCTCTGTAACTCTGTGTTTCAAATAAATAAAATAAACCTTTTTCAAAAAGATTAATACGGAATCCAAAAGCCCCTAAGTAGCCAAAGCAATCTTGAAACAGAACAAGTCTGACAGCACCTGAATTCATGACACACTACAAAGGGATTGTAATCACTGACATAAAAACAGACACGGACAACTGAAACAGAACAGAGGTCCCACACCGCTGGAACCCAAAATGCAACGCAGGAAAGTCTCTTCAGTAAATGGCCCTGAGGAAATGGATATTCCTATGCACAAACCTGAAACTAGACACTCCCGCCCGCACCCGCACAGCCTTCACCCTACACAAAAACGAAACCAAAGTGAGTCAAATATCTAAATGTAAGACATAAATCTAACAAAACTGTTAGGTACTAGCACATTGACACAGGCAAGGACTTTTGGATCAGCTTCCAAAACCACAGGCAACAAAAGTGATACAGGCAGGCAGGCAGGCAGGCTGGCAGGATCAAATTGATTAGAGTATAAGCTAGAGACCACGCCTTTGTCCTACCCCCTTTCAGGAACTCATGCTCCTACTTGATCTCACCTGGACGCCCACCTGCCAATCAAACTACATAATCCCGCCCCTTTGGAACTGAATAAAAGCCATGGAGCACAATGGGCTGGTCCCTCTCTGCTTTCCTGCCCGCCCTAGGATACCAGTCCATGGCTGAACCTAACAGCATGCTTGCTCCACGTGGCTCCTGGCCTGCTCTCTGCCTCCAGATGGACCCAACTTAGTTTCTAGACTTCTTCCCTAAATAAAGCCCTCACTTTCCTGTGTATTTTTCTCACTAAATAAATGCTGGGGGGGAAAAAAGGTATCACGTTGTCTGTTTCATTTATAAGCAGCCGAAATTTAGAATTCTTATCTAAATATACGGGAAGAACCCTGGAAAATTTGAGTAGAGGTCCCGATTTCGAAAGCACAGACAAATTTGATATCAACTAAGAAAAGTCCTCAAAAACTGCAGAAACAATCACCAAAGTGGAGATGCCATAAATAACAGGGACTTGCAAACTATGCATCTGATAAACGACTGACACACACAACAAAACGCTCAATACTAGTTACCCAGGGAAACGCAAATCCAAAAACACTGACGGGTGAGCCCCGAGTCCCCTTCCACTGGCTTCGAAGGAGACTCCCTGCCACGTCCGACTGCCGCTTGGCTGAAGCCGCGGACTGCGAGACCCTCCATGGCGGGGGGCCGGGACCCGGGGAACCTCTTGCTCCCCTCCCCCAACTCGCCAGGCGGGCGGCGCCGGCGGGACGCGGCCCTGAGCCCTGCCTAAGCTCCGAGAGCGGAGCGCGCCCCCAGTGCAGCCCGGGATCTCTGTCCCTCCGGCCCGCGGGGAACCACGGGGGCTCACCCACAGCTTCACCCGGAGCCCCTCAAAGCCCGCTCCGCCTCCTCCCTCAGCCGCGGACCCTGTCCGGAAGCTCACCACGCCTCACCTGGCGCGGCCGACGACGCCTGCCCCTCACCTGCCGCGGCTGCCGCGACAACAAGCCCTCCGCTTCCCGCCGGCCGCGGCCGTCTCAGGCCCGGTGTGGCTGCGCAGGCTTCCACAGGGTGGCAGCGTCCGAAGGGGAAACAGAGGCCAGGCAGCGAGAAGAGGGCCGGGCAGTGCCGCCGGAAAAGCGCGCGGGCAGCGTGGCAGAGTAGGACTCGCTGGACACGCGACCCGCGGCCGCGCACACCTGGCGAGCACCGGCGCGCGCGAGCCGGCCTGGTGCGCGTGCGCGTCGCGGCGGCAGGGGGAGGGGGCGGAGCTCGCAGGCGGCGGTTTCGGAAAGGGGCGGAGCCGCGCCAGGTGCGCTCGCGGGGCGGCCGTTGGCTGAGGCGGAGACCCCCAGCGCAGAGTCTCGTGTCCGGAGCCCCGGGTGCCAGAGGAGCGCTCAGGCGCTCACCCACACGGAGGCTCGGGCGCAAACCGCCTTCGAGGCCGGCGCCCGCTGTCACATCACAATACGCGTGTGGCGCACCGAGGGCTGGCGCCGAAGCAGCGGCAGGGAGGCACCGGCCGCCCGCCCGCGCCTCCGGGGAAGTCTGGACGCCCCGCAGCGCCCGTGGTGCGGGCTTAGCCTGCCCGGCGGGTGTCTGGAGCGGGTCGTCGGTGTCAAAAATTCCCTCGGGCCTTGAAAAGCTCATTTAGGCAGGAGGTAGGTTTTGTTATGAGATACTCTTCACCTCACTTTAAAAACTAATAACATTTTATTTTTATTTTATTTTATTTGAAAGGCAGAGGTACAGAGAGGGAGGGAGAGTGAGTGAGAGAGGTGTCTGATATGCATTGGTTCACTCCCCAAATGGCTGCAACAGCCTGGGCTGGGCCAGGCCAAACCAGGAGCCAGAAGCTTCACCTGGGTCTCTCAGGTCAGTGCGGCAGGGTCCCAAGTACCGGGGTCATCTTCCCTCACTTTCTCAGGCAAGTTATCAGGGAGCTGAATGGGAAGTGGGGCAGCCGGGACTGGTGCCCATATGGGAGGCTGGCATCTCAGGTGAAGACTTAACCCACTATGCCACAGTGCCAGGGGGCAACCTTGCTTACTTTAAATGAAATATGTGAGAATTACTTTTTAAAAAAAAAAAAAAAAAAGAGGTATCTCTTCACGCTAAAATAACAAAAATTGCAAATGCTGGTTAGGATATGCAGAAAAGAAAGTCCTTATAAACTGGTGATGAGAAAGCAAATTAGTACAGGCATTCTGGAAAAAACCACTATTGTCATTTTGTTAGGGAGGTAGTCAGAAATTGAGCCTATGTGTGTGTGTAGAGAAAGGCCTGAAGACCAGCACCTACTGCAGAAGCTCCAGAAACAACATTTTGCACTTCAAAGTCCTGCCCAGACCCTGATAACCTCCAAGGTGGTCCCAGCCCTTCCCCCAAGGAAAGCTCTCAGGAGAATTCTCCCTTCTCAGGACCAAAGGAGTTACCTGATCTGATAACAGGGGGCAATACAACCTTCACAGACCCCCTAAGGGAAGCCCTTGTACTCTGCCAGGCACCAGCAAATTCAGGAAGGAATTTGCTAATTTTCACCCAACAAACACTTCTGCTAGGACTCCCAACCCTTTGTCCTAGAGGAGAGGGGGAGGTGGGTAAACAGACTCCCTTAAAAACCTAGGGAGTTCAAACAGACTGGGCACTCAGCCCCCTGCCTCTGTGCTGACCTGTCCACGTGTATTCTCTCCATTCTACCATGTAACCTCACTCTCCCCCAGTCCAAGTGAGCGACTGGGCACACTCTCTGTCCCTTCTGTTTTGAGGGATGCCCTGTCCCCACTAAAGCCTTATCACTGCTCTCTGTCTCACACCTGAATTCTTTCTTCCATGAGGAACCCCATAGCTTCCACAGCTGTTCCTCCAGTGACAATTCCTAAAAAAAAAAAAAAAAAAAAAAACCTCTGTGTTACAGCTATCCCACTCCAAGGTATAGATCAGAAGGAAATGAAATCAGCATATCAAAGAGATGTATGCCCTTCCATGTTCACTACAGCACTAGTCACAGTAGCCAAGATATGGAACCAGTCTAAGTGTCCTCAACAGATGAATAGATAATGTAACAATATTCAGTCATAGAAAAGAAAAATAATATTTGTATTTACTTCAAAATGGAACTGAAGAGTAAGTTAGGTGAAATAAGCCAGAAACAAAAAGACAAATGTCACATGTTCTCTCTTATATATGGAATTTTGAAAAACCATGGGTCTGAACTTAAAATTGTGGGTACTAGAAACTGGGATGGGTGAGGGATCTAGATGGGTGAGGGAGATTGGCTAACAGGTAGAAATAACAAGTCCTGGTGCTCCAATAACAGCATAGTGACTATAGTTCACAGTAAGATGCACTGTATAAAAAGCAGCAAGGGGGGAGTTGGCAGTTTTTAAGCACAAAGAAAAAGAAATAGAAAGGCCAGTTACCTGGCTTGATCAGCTTGTGTTACATATATGTGTTCAACTATTACACTGTACCCCATAATAAATACAAGGAATACATGTTAATAATAATTACATGAATAAAATGTTGTAATATCAGAAGCATCTCTATATACTAACACTAAACTATCTGAAAAATAACTTAAGAAAACAATTCCATTTATAAAGCATAAAAAAATCCTAGGTACTGGACCGGCACTATGATGCTGTAGTTTGGGCTATTGTCTGCAGTGCCGGCATTTCATATGGGTGCCAATTCAGGTCCCAGCATTTCATATGGGTGCCAGTTCAGGTCCCAGCTGCTCCGCTTCTGATCCAACTTCCTGCTAATGTGTTTGGTAAAGCAGAGGAAGATGGCCCAAATCCTTGCGCTGCTGTACCCACGTGGGAGACCCTGATGAAACACCTGACTCCTGGCTTTTGGCCTGGCCCAGTCTTGGCCATTGTGGCCATTTGGGGAGTAAACCAGCAGATGGAAGATCTCAGTCTCTGTCTTTCCTCCCTCTCTCTAACTCTGACTTTTGAATAAATACATAAGTCTTAAAAAAAAAAAAAACTAGTTAGGGCTAATATTTTCCAGTGTTATTAAGGGTTATTTAAATGTACATAGTCATTTAATTAATAAGTCAAAGTTGTTTTTCCCACTGAATTTTCTGCTCATCCCTTACAAGATTTACAGTTAGGTTATCTGGTGTCTTGTAAATGCCACTACTGGAAAACCAACATTGAACCTATATGGAAGGCTAGTTATACAGGTTTTAAGATTTATTTACCTGAAAGGCAGAGCGACAAAGAAGAGGCAAAAAGAGATCTTCCATCCACTGGTTTACTCCCCAAATGCATGCAACAGCTAAGGCTAAGCCAGGAACTTCTACTGAGTCTTCCATATGAGTGGAAGGTATCAAAGAACTTGAATCATCATCTCTTGCCTCCCAGATGCATTGGCATCAAACCAGATAGGAAGAGTAGAGTAGCCTGGATTTGACTCAGGCTCAGCAAGGTGGGATGTGGGCATTCTAAGTGGTAGCTTAGCCACAGCACCACACCACACATCTGCCATAAACTGTTTTATTCATTGTTAACACTGCTGCCAAATTACAGGAAAGGTGTTCAACCTTGGATCCACATATCACAGTTAAAATATAGGTGTATATCCTAGTAGTTAAGAAGCTTGTGTCCTACATGAAAGTACCTGGGTTCAATTTTGGCCTCTTCCTCCTGACTCCAGCTTCATAATAATGCAGTCGCTGGGAAGCAGTGGTGTTGTCTCAAGTGATTGGATTGCAGCAACCCCTGTGGAAAACCTGGATTGTACTGGCATTGTTGAGTAGTGGGTAAACTACCACCTGCAATGCTGGCATCCCAAATGGGTACCAGTTCATGTCCACCTGCTTCACTTCTGATCCAGCTCCCTGCCAATCCACCTGGAAAAGCAGCAGAAGATGGTCCAAGTGTTTGGGCACCTGCACCCACATGGGATACCTGGATGAAGCTCTTGACTACTGGCTTTGGTCTGACCCAGCCCCACCCATTGCAGCCATTTGGAGTGCTACCCAGTAAGTAGAAGATTCTCTCCCTCTCTCTGTCTCTCTCTCTCTCTCTCTCAACTCTGCCTTTCAAATAAATTAAGTAAATCTTTAAGAAAAGGGAACCTGGATTAATTGCTAGCTCCCAACTTAAGCATAAGCCTTTACTGGTAGTTGTGTTCACTTGGGGAGTGAACCAGTGAATCAATTCTCTGTCACTGTTTCTGCAATAAATAACCTAGAAAAGAATCTAGACAGAACAATAAACTTTTGGATGTCAGATCACCTAAAAGTGTCTGAAAACAATTAATTGGCAATACAACAAAATTTTATTTCTTTATTTCCACATGATCTAATAGAAAAAAACGTTTATTCAGAATTATAATATCTTTTTTTGTTTTTGTTTTGTTTTGTTTTGACAGGCAGAGTTAGACAGTGAGAGAAAGAGACAGAGAGTTATAGGCAGTGAGAGAGAGACAGAGAAAGGTCTCTGGAGCTTCATCCGGAGGTTAGGGTTAGGGTTAGATTTGGGTTAGGGTTAGGGTTCCATTGGTTCACACCCTAACTGGCCACCATGGCCAGCGCACTACGCCAATCTGAAGCCAGGAGCCAGGTGCTTCCTTCTGGTCTCCCATGCGGATGCAGGGGCCCAAGCACTTGGGCCATCCTCCACTGCCTTCCCAGGCCACAGCAGAGAGCTGGACTTTAAGAGGAGCAACTGGGACAGAATCTGGTGCCCCAACCAGGACTAGAACCCGGGGTGCTGGTGCCGCAGGCAGAGGATTAGCCAAGTAAGCTGCAGCGCCAGCCCAGAATTCTATCAACAATGAATTGAGTTGTTGCAACTTCAGATAGCTGAAAGGAATGACCAACCAAAATTCTAACCCTAAACCTACCCCATACTCTATTCCTAACCCTAACCATAGATTTAATCCTAACCCTAATGCTTGTTCTAACCCTACACCTATCACTAACCCTAACCCAAACCCAAACCCAGACCCTGTCCTTAACCATAACCCTAAACCTAGCCCTAACACTGGCCCTAACACTAGCCAATAGCCTGATTCCAACCCTAAATATACCCAAACCTTACCCCTAGACCTAACATTAACACCAACCATAATTCTAAACCTTACTTAGCCTGACCCCTAACCCTAACCATAGGCAAACTCTAACGTTAGACCTAAAGCTTGAACCATAATTTTAATAGGAACTCTGGCCCTAATTCTAAAGTTAACTTTAGTCCTAACCTTATCCCTAGACCTAAATCTAACCCTGGTACAAACCAAAACAATGACCCTGACCCTAATCCTAGACTTAACACTTAACCCTAAGAACCAGTGTACTCCCTGGCCACAGCAGAGAGCTGGCCTGGAGAGGGGCAACCGGGACAGAATCTGGCGCCCCGACCGGGACTAGAACCCGGTGTGCCGGTGCTGCAGGCGTAGGATTAGCCTATTGAGCCGCAGCGCCAGCCTCCCAAGTATGTTCTTAATCTTCCTAAAAAGTAATCTGTACATGTGAAAGACCCTCAAATTTTTGTGAAAATGCACAGTAAGAAAAAAGTGTGCGTAAATTTCCAGTATTTTGTTACACCAAAATAATCTTATCTGTTTTCCATTTTTCCATGTTGAGATTAACTTGGGAAGATGAAGATGTCCCTTTATCTCTGTGCCCCTATGGCAACTGGTGTCATGATAAGCAACAAACCCACCTGCTTGGCTAGCTGCCCACAACCCTGCTATGCCAAAGGGTTTGGCATTTGGCCACTGTTGTCTGTAAGTCCATATGAGCAACTGGGGGGCATGGTTAGGTGCAGCTATTGTTGGATGTGGCTGTGTATAGATGTGTGGCTGTATGTGGCTATGTGTGGGTATGTGTAGATGTCCCTGCACGTGTCTGACTGCCGCCGTGGACACAAAGGCGGGTATCTTCTGTGACCCTATGGCTATCAGAGGCAAGTGGCTGTTCCTTGTGCATTTCTCATTGCCACTGTGACTAAAGGTGATATAAACCCACAAACAACAGGTTCTCTGACCTGTCAGAATGCTTTATTTTTAAAGATTTTTTTCTTTATTTGAAAGGCAGAGTTACAGAGAGGCAGAGGAAGAGAGAAATCTTCCATCTGCTGGTTCGTTCCCCAAATGTCTGCAGTGACCGGAATTGCACTGATCTGGAGCCAGGAGCCAGGAGCTTCTTCTGGGTCTCTCATGTAGGTGCAGGGCCCAGGGACTTGGACCATCTTCCATTGCTTTCCCAGGCATGTTAGCAAGGAGCTGGATCAGAAGTGGAACACCTGGTACTCAAACCAACACCCACGTGGGATGCTAGCACTGCAGGCCACTGCGCTGGCTCCCAACCCCTGATTTCTTCTAAAGATTGGTTTCCTTCATTTCAGCTCAGGAAGGACTATGAGATCCTACCCACAGAGGGCGCTCTGAAAAACCACTAGTGACTGACAGGTCTTCTAGGTTGTGATGAGTTCCAGCCTTTTTTCAAAGTTGGAACTGACTTTTGTTCCACTTCCCCACCCACCCTCGCAAACAACGGAGACAGCACCCATCTGTACGTTTTCCCAGAATACTTATTCCTGAACATATCCTTGTCAGAGTGGAAAACAGACTTAGCTGCTCATGACTCAGTGTGCTAGTCTGAATGTGGGCAGGCCCCATGTGCCTCTCTAACCTTCTGAGGACTTTGATGGCAATTGTATATGCAAAGCCAGTAAAGGAACCACTCAGCCATGAAATCTAGGGAAATGACTGCCATTGGATCTTACTCTGATGCTTTCAGCTTTCATTAGTAGCAGCAGAAATCTACTCTTCCCATCCCCCAGAACCTTGGCAATGGCATTAAGTTAAAAAACAAAAACAAACAAACAAAAAAACGCTTGAAGGGGAGCCAGTGCTGTGGCACAGCAGATTAAAGCCCCAGACTGCAGTGCCAGCATCCCATATGGGTGCTGGTTCAAGTCCCTGCTGCCCCACTTCTGATCCAGTTCTCTGCTATGGCCTGGGAAAGCAGTAGAAGATAGCCCAAGTCCTTGGGCCCCTGCACCCATGTGGGAGACCTGGAAGAAGCTTCTGGCTCCTGGCTGCTGGCTTCAGATCAGCTCAGCTCTGTCTGTTGTGGTCATTTGGGGAGTGAACCAATGGAATGGAAGACCTCTCTCTGGCTCTACCTCTACCTCTCTCTATAACTTTGTCTTTCAAATAAATAAAATAATTATTTAACCAAAAAAAAAAAAAAAAAAGCTTGAAGGGTTGGAATTGTGGCACATCTGCTCCTGGTTCCATCATTGATTTCAGCCTGACCCAACCCTGGTCATTATGGCCCACAGAGGCAGTACCCCATGGGGCACTGGTTCCAGTCCCAGTTGCTTCACTTCTAATACAGCTCCCTGCTAATGGCCTGGGAAAGCAGCAGAAGATGACTCAAGTGCTTGGGCCCCTACCAGCCATGTGGGAGACCCAAAAGAAGCTCCTGGCTCCTGGCTTCAGCTTGACCCAGCCTTATCCACTGCAGGATTTGTGACAGCCATTTTTTTTTTCAGCCATCTTCTGTGCACAGACTTGGTTACGCTGCAAGCCTTGTAGTATAAAGAAACAAGTAGTTTATTTAAGTAGCAAATTTTAATAAGCAAAAGAGAGAGAGAGAGAAAGAACGGGGAGGGGGGTCCCTAAGAGTAGGGGACTCAACCCAGGAATTTACCACTAGGCAATCTTCACACAGCACCGGAAGAGGATCAATACTGAGAATCAAATAGCATCAGTAATTATCACAGGCACGTTCAACATTCAGCTTGACTGCATGTTCTCCCGGGATGAAACAGAAGCAGCAGAGGCTCGCTCCAGCTCCCTTTTAAAGCCCCAAGAACAAAGGTGGCTCATTGCTGAGATTCATGGCAAGCAGTGCATCCCATCCTGGACCTTGGCCAGAGGGCCGAGGCAGCAGGCACGTTTCAAGATGTTCCTCAGACTTCTGCCCAAAGACATGCCATGCTCTGCCTTGTTCTCCTCTCAGGAACTGGCCAGGTTCCAGGGAACAGAGGTTACTCAACAACAAGTTGCTTACTAGAGCTGAGCCTGGACACAAGCCTCCCCATCCTAAAGAGCTGTCCTTACAGCATTTGAGGAGTAGAACAATAGATGGAAGATCTCCCTCTTTCTGTCTCTCCCTCTGTAAATCTGCCTTTCAAATAAATAATTAATCCTTAAAAAAGAAAAAGAAAGCTTGAAGGCATCCATCAGTGTGGAAGGCATAGAGAGAGTGCCCAGTCACTTGGACTGGGGGAAAGCAAGGTTACATGGTTGAATGGAGAATATATCCGGGCAGGCCAGGCAGGTGGCTCAGCAGAGAGCAGAGAGTGCAGTGTGCTATTTAGACTCCTGGTTTTTAAGGGAGTCTCTTTACCCCCTCCCCCTTCTCCTTTAGGATAAAAGGTTTTGTGGAGAGTAAATTAGCAAATTTGTCCCCAGGTTTGCTGGAGCAAAGGGGCTTCCCCTAGGATGTCTGTGAATGTTTTATCAGGTAACCCATTTAGTCCTGAGAAGAGAGAATTCTCCAGGGAGCTTTCCTTGAGGGAAGGGCTGGGACCTCTGGAAGGTTATCAGGGTCTGAACAAGACTTTGAAGTGCAAAATGGTGGGCTTCTAGGGCTTCCAAAGCAATGTTGGTTTCTTCAGGCCCCTTTCACACAAATAGGCTGATTTGTTATTTCCTACCTAACATTTCCGGGATGCCAGCACGACAGGTAGAGGATTAACTTACTGTGCCACAACAGGGGCCGAAATCCAGGCAATAAGGACTTTCAGAAAGTCAGCAGCCTTGGCTCCCCTGCCTGAGTCAGACAGAAAAGAAAAAAATAAATAAAATAAAATGCCCCAGATGACCTGCAGGCTCTTAGCCATTTCCTTGGCCTCACATGTTGAATGTTGATTTGCCAGATGTGATATTACTCATTCTACTTATCAGGTTTCTTTTGTTTGCTTGGGACCCCGGTGTGTGATTTACTCTTTTTTTTTTTTTTTTTTTTTGATTTATTTATTTGAAAGAGTTACAGAGCAAGGAGGGGAGAGAGTGAAAAGAAAGGGAGAGATCTTCTGCTGGTTCACTGCCCAAATGACCAAGAGCCAGGGCTGGACCCGGCTGAAGCCAGGAGCCAGGAACCTCCTCTAGGTCCCCCACGTGGGTGCAAGGGTCCAAGCACTGGAGCCATCTTCCACTGCTTTCCCAGGTGCCTTAACAGGGAGCTGGATGGGAAGTGGAGCAGCAGGGACACGAACCAGCATCCACTGGGATGCTGGCATTGCAGGCAGAGACTTAACAGTGATTTAGTGTAGGTAATTGCCACAGTTTTCAAGCAAAACTTCACTTGTGTAAATTGCCCTTGGGTTCAACAAAACAAGGGCACAAAGACCTTGCCAGCAACAGAACAATTGAACCGGGGAAATGCATGGGTGGTGGGTGCTTTGTTATGGGCCAGGGGCCTTCGGTCTGAGCGGCTGCCAGGTCGCCTGCCGTCCTGGGGGAGGCACCTGCCCGGGCTGCGGTTGGGACTGAGAGGCCCGCGGAAGCCCCGCCTCGCGGGAGCGTGTGGCCACCCAGGGCATTGGTAGCTCCGCGCCATTGCGCTGGCCCCGGGGCCGTCAGAGCTGTAGCTGCCCCAGGCGGGCGGGCAGCTGAAAGAGGACGGACCCATGGGCAACCCGTGTCCACCGCCGTGGGTCCCTGTAGCCCTGAGGCTCCCCTGGGTGCAGCCCGGCTCTGGGCAGCTGAGACGCTCAGGGTGCAGTTGGCGCCTAACTCTGTGAGTGCTTGGCACACAGGACACGTTTTGGCGAATGATTATTCTGTACTGTAGCCGCGCTTATGTAGTTTCATCGTTACTGTTTTCTCGATGTTGATTTTAGAAAGTTCATGGAAAATGGAATGAAAAGATACACTTAGTTTGGTGAGAATGTTTTTGAAATCAGGTTGGTTTTTTTTTTCGTAAGACATGTTTTCCTTGAACTTTCGGTAGACCCCTCGTGTAGAACATGGGATTTCCTGCAGCTGGTTGCCAGATCACAAAGAGAGGACACTTAGGAGATGTGTCGAAAGGATTCTTTCTTGGGAAGGAAAAATGGGCGTGCTTGCGTTGTGACCAGGAGGCCCAGAGATATTCTGAACTTGTTAAGATCTGACATTGGCCACAGACCCCATGCAGGTGGCTTCCAATCTATAGCTGACAAGTAGGGTGTGCTGTTGATGAGCCCAATCCTAACCACCTGGGCACCATACCCATCCTCTGTTGTGCCCGTGGAGGAGCTGTCCTGTCCGATGCATACATGGACAAGGCTGCTAGGCAACTGTGCTCACCATTTAAATCATGCATTGGTACCATGGGCGCTTCAATGTAAACATTTGCTGTTTCCTTTGCTGAGTGAAATTTCCTTTGGGAAGAAAACCACAGAAAGGAAGATAGGCATAGTCTCCTGATTTACTTACCCCAAGTTGGATACCTTGGTCCCAGCCCCAGAGCTCATGTTTTCAGCAAAACAGCCGCCACAGTCCAGGATTTTATTTTGCAGAGTGTAGAGTTGGGAACTGGTATGCTGAGGATTGGTAGAGGAGCCCCCTCAGGCAGAGGTGCCCGGGGAAGGCACTGTGCTGCTGGGAATGGCAGTGCCCCTTCTGTGGTTCTTTCCTTAGTAACCCCAGGCTGCATAACCCATATTTTCTGCTTTTGTTCTCTGTCTGGGAAAACAGCTGGCAGTAGATTTTCCTAGGAGGAATATTGCCATTCTATATAGCCTTACTGGTGCAAAATTTAGATGCCATAAAACTTTCCCATTCAGGGCTGGCATTGTGGTGTGGCAGGTTGGGCTGCCACCTGAGGTGCCAGCATCCCATATGAGCGTTGGTTCGAATCCCAGATGCTCCTCTTCCAATCCAGCTCCTTGCTGGTGCACCTGGGAAAGCAGTCAAATATGGCCCAGCTGCCTAGGCCCTGCCACCCACTTGGGAGACCCAGGTGGAGTTCCAAGCTCCTGACTTCAGCGTGGCCCAGCCTTGGTCCTTGTATTGTGGCCATTTAGGCAGTGAGTCAGAGGATGTAGGATCACTCTGTCTTTCCCTTTCTATGCTCTGCCTTTCAAATAAAATAAATAAATCTTTCAAAAAAAAAAAAAAAACCACAAAACCCATCTTGCCCATTCAAAGAATATACTTCAGTGGTTTTTTGATGTATTTACAGAATTGCACAACTAGTCCCAAAGTCTGCTGGTTCACTCCCCCAAATGGCCACAACAGCTGGAGCTACGCCAATCCAAAGCCAGGAACCTGGAGCTGCTTCTGGGTCTGCCATATAGGTACAGGGGCCCAAGGACCCTTCCATTGCTTTTCAGGCACACTAGCAGGAAGCAGGATCGGAAGTGGAGATGGCCGGGGGCCTGAACTAGCGCCTGTATGGGATGCCGGCACTGCTGGCAGGGGATTTACTCACCACAGCACCTGCCCCATTCCCCACTGTTTTCTTTAGCAATTCATATTGGTGATTTAAAAATTAAAGGATCCAAAGTAAGAAGTCATGGGCCCCCATGTAAGGAGTACAAGAATAGCTTTTAAAATTTCACAAACCTGATTCTCAAATATTGGTTCTTCTATTTCTCGGCTGTGTGTCCTGAGGCAAGATACTTTGCTTCTCTGAGCCTCCATTGCCTAAAAGGTGATGGATGTAAAATGTACTTGTTTAGATTAGTGTGAGGATGAAATAAAGTAATGGACATAAAGGGGCTGGCACATAAAAGTACTGATAAGCTAGTTACTGTTTTATATTTAAGGATAAGGAAAACTGGGTTTATGAAATTATACATTAGTGGTACAGTTTAAATCTTCAGTGATATGGGAGAGGTTATGGACACAATGAGCTAGAAAAACAGAAGTTGGAGCTTGTCTTTCTGCTCTGTTTGGGCATAAGTGGTAATTAATGATAGTTTTTTCTGCTGATTGATGTTTTGAATAGAGTGTTACTCAGCAGAAATTTCTTGTAATAATGACGTCTTACACTCATGAGATTTTCTGCTTTTAGAAGCTCCAGTGGCCTTTGTTTCACTGTGGGTAAACATCCTCCGAAGCAGGTATGCAGTCAGCATGGCTTCCAAGTTTCAGATGAGACTCTGAAGCCCCAGACATTCAGGGACAAGTAATACATCGGTGGAGTCCAGGGCTGATTTCACAGAATTCAGAAGCAGAGCCCAGGCTCATGTCCTAAGATAGCTCTTTTTCTGCCCTGTCAAAGTGGGAGCGTGCTCTTTTCTCAGCTTATTATCCAAAAGATCCTGTTAGTGAGTGGCTTGCTTACCTTTGGCAAGATTTTTCATGGTTTTGTGTCAGTTGCTCTACTGATAGCCTTGTTGTGGATTGTCTGGCTACTCCTGGTGGGCCTGGTGAGCAGCTTTGCCTGAAGCCTGTGGGGTGGATGTGAAGCCAAGACTCAAACCAAGAGACTTCAATATGGCATCAGCCAGGAAGTTTGGGCATTTTTCTTCCAAGCTGGGCCTTTGAAAGATGGATCAGAGATTTTATTCATTACTGCATTTATGTGGGTGGACCTTTCCCTGAAAACATGTGTGGGTCCAAGTGTGTGTGTGTGTGTGTGTATGTGTATACATATTTTTAAAAGATTTATTTATTTATTTGAAAGTGCTATGCAGAGAAGGAGGGAGGGAGGGAGGGAGGGAGGGAGAGAGAGAGAGAGAGAGAGAAAGGGGTCTTCCATCCACTGGTTCACTCCCCAATTGGCCGCAACAGCCGGAGCTGCACTGGTCCAAAGCCAGGAGCCAGGAGTTTCTTCTGGGTCTCCCATGCAAGTGCAGGGGTCCAAGGACATGGGCCATCTTCCGCTGCTTTCGTAGCCCATAGCAGAGAGCAGGATCAGAAGTGGAACAGTCAGGATTCGAACCGGCGCCCATATGGGATACCGGCACTACGGAGGGCAGCTTTACCTGCTACGCCACAATGCCAGCCTCAGGTCCAAGTATATTTTAGACATACTCCCTTGAGTGTCATCACCAAATTGTGCTCCTGGATCAGGCTGGGATTTTTGAGAAAGGAGTCAGGGTGGCCTCCGGGTATTTGTCCTTAAGAAAGAATGTGTATGGAACCTTTTACCAAGCTGGGAAAGAAGTTAGGAGAAGCAGGATTTGAGGACAGGAAGAGTATAGACAAGGGGTGTGTTTAAACCCAAGAACTGCTGGGTTCCTGTGAGAGTGTGGAAAGCCAGTAGCAGGAGGGGGTAAGGAGCTAGGAGGCTGAGCTGAACGTGCAGCAGGGAGTCCCTGGGGCCACCTCAGCACTGGGAAGTGGAGCAGAGCAGGTACCCAGGTGAGGCAGGAGAGAGCCATGGAGAAGGCAGGTCCAGTGAGGCCAGGGCCTACGTGGTGCCAGGGAAGGCCTGGGGCATTCAGTCAGTACAAGGCTCCTGCCAGGGGTTCTGCTGGGGACATGTGTGACAGGAGCCACATGGGCCAGGAGAGAAACAGCTCATGAAGACAAAGCTACCCAGGCATTTTTCTGTTGAGGGAGCAGAGAAATAAGTCAGAGGCATGGGGTGCCAGGAATCTGTGTTTTAAGATGTGGAGCATCACAGCACATTGCCCTGAAAGGAAAGGTCCAGCTTGCACCAGGGGGCTTAAGCCACAGTGAGGGGCACCCAGGGGAGTGGGGGTACACTGGGGATCAGGCACTGGAATCAGGGCAGCGAAAGCTGGATGGTGTAGAGATTGAAGTCATTCTTTGAGACTCCTTCAAGCAGGATAAGAAGACCTCATTCCTGGGTCTGCAGGAGTGGAGAGGGACTTGAGAATCAAGAAGGGCAAGGCACAGTGGCAGCCCCTGGAGGCTTAGCAGGGACGGGTGCACGTCCAGTGCTCCTCAAGGTAACTTCCAGAACCCCAGCCCCACCCTGATCGTGTGACTGCTTGGCCAGCCTGGGGTGGCACCACTGAGCCTGGCCTGCAGCCGAGCCCTGGGGCTGGTGGCTCAGGAGCTGAGGACGGCTCATCTAGGAGCGCACATCTCCACACAGGGCTGGCCTGGGAGAAGAGTGTGGGGCCGGGCCAGTGTGGCAGTTGCATGAGGGGTTCAGGTCCCGCGCACTCTGAGGGGCTCCACATACAGCAAGGCTTCAGAGCAGGGAGACACAGACTCACTCCTTCCCTTTCTGTTGCAGACCTTGAAGTTGGCTCAAGTCCCTCCCACGTCTCAACTCCAGTGGTTCGATGCAGAACGTGGGCACCCAGAGAGAAGTCCCCTGAGAGACACAAGACAGCAGCCCCTTCCTGCCCAGTACCTGTTGCTCTGCTACATCACAGAGACGCCATGGGGCCCAGTATGCCAGAGCCCAGGCTGGTTACAGGTCAGTCCTTGTTCTGAGATTGGCCAGGAGCCAGGGAGAGACTTCTGGCTCATGACCTTGAGGTGCTGATTAAGGGCCTCACCTGTGTCCAGCACTGTGCTGAGCCTCATGGGAAGAGTGGGTCCTGGGTCCTCAGGCATGCCACTATAACTTGGATGACATAACATGGTCATGTGACCATGAGACAGAAGCCTCAGGTGTCCCAGGCCAGGCAGTGGCAAGACAGTGAAAGGGCTCAGGTCCTGCAATTTTCCATTTGTTCTCATCTATGCCTGCTTCTCCCTTAGCAGGGCTCAGAAGCTCAGGTACTTGCCTCGCTTATACAAGGTGTCACAGGCATAGTATCCCAAGCTCAGCATTCAGACCCCACCCCGCTACTTGACTGGTACAGGTTGGCCACCCGGGGCTCCCTCTGAGGCAGGTGGACTCCAGGGCCTCTAATGAGGAGGAGGCCGGAGCACAGGCCACAAAGCCCTATGCGCCCTCAATCAAAGATCTGCCCTGGTGACATTAGCTAATGCCAGCCCCTTACTCACAGAATCCCAGCTTGCTGGTGGTAACGAGTGCAGCTGCCAGGGCTGATGCACACGCACCACAGAGCCAGCTGCAGGGCTGTGGCTTTCTCCATGCAGCTTCCTGGAGGCAGTGACAGCAGGGCCTGCCCCCACCTCCACATTCCATGGGCTGTGGGTTGCAGTGGTGAGCCCCGGGGGGCGGGGGGGGGGGGACTGAGACATGAAGGGTTTGGGGACCATGCACACGGTCAGCCTCTGAGTCTGTGCTCCCATCCTGGAGTCTCACTGCCTGCAGGACGGCCTTAGACCCCTTGCCTGTGCCCACTGCCTGAGGCCCCGGAACACTGCCCTGCCATTCAGCCACCCTGCACTCGGCCTTCGTCAGCACCATTGCACCCCCATGCCCTCCTGGGTCCAAGGACCCGGAACATCTCCCTCTGCCTTCTACCCCGACAGCTGCTTCTCCTCACCAGGACAAGCCCATGCTGGCTGGGATCTCTGCCCCCTGCTGGGCAGGACCTCTACCCTCCATTCCCTGGGCTGTGTTTTAGGGCCACACCCGAGGGGATCCAGGTGGCCCTCACCTGCTCAGCAGCAATGAATGACATCAGCTTCTCCCCTGTTGCCCACTAAGCCCCTTATCCCGTGCTGAGGACAAGGCCTGACAAATACCATCTGAGTCATTCCTCACAGCCGTGGGGGTTGGGAACACTCTTTCAGCTCCCACCTCAGAGAGGTAAAGTGACTCGAGCAATGTCACAGGACTCTAAGTGGCAAAATCCAAATCAGCTCTGATCAGCTACCTCCGGGGGAACTCTCTTATAAGAAATTTGCCCTTGTGAAGGTGTGCCCATGGAGCCATGCATTTACAGAGGTGCCCTGGGGAGGCCCTGAGAGTAGGGGTCAGGAGTACCGACCACTCTGTGAGGCCCCCTCCTCCAGCTCCTGGGCTTTGGGAGGAGGATGTCTGGGCTAGGGAAGGGCTGTGACTGACGGAGCATGCACTGTATGCCTGGCACTGGGCTCCAACCTCAGCTGGACTCCCTCTTTCTGTCTTCACCCCTCCTGAGAGGGAGTTGTTTATAGTTGGGCAAACTGGGGCTCAGAGGGAGGTAAATAAAGCGAGCCACAAAAGGGAGCTTGAGCCTCCTGCAGACTCTGGCCACCCGCGATGGAGAGAGGCCAGGGGCAGGGCTGCCTGGGGAGTCACAGTCCAGCCTCTGTTTGCCCTCTGCTGCTCTGGTGCTCGGGACCCTGAGCCTAAGCCCCCGGCCTAGGCAGAGCTGAATCACCCCTCCTTGTGGACCCGAGGCCAGGAAGCTGGGGCTTCCCCTCTGCCCTCTGTCCTTGCTGGCTCCTGGCTTCAGCCTCGTCCAGCCACGCTGTTGCAGGCATTTGGCCTGTTGCTGCCCAGCACATGTATAGCTAGCTGGGCCACCGCATGCATGAGGACACTCAGTCCTGGCACTGGGGCTCGCCTTGCACGTCCAAGGCTGACCCCAGCTCCTCCCCTCCCACAGCTCCTCAGTGGCCATCTGCCGGGCCTGGCTCTTCGGCCCCACCTTGCTCAACACCTCGCTCTCTGAGGAGGGACCTGCACTCTCTGCTCTCAGAAGAGGAAGCCGGGCACCTGATGTGCAAGCCCCCTGGGAGTCTCCCTCTCCTTACGCCGCCAAGGGACTGAGCACGTGCCTGGGGTCAGGGAGATGTGCCCTGCACCTCCTATCTCATTTTTCCTTGTTTCTGCTCTCTCTGTGGCCAGGGTTTGGTGGGAAGCTCATCCTGCCTCGCCAGGCTCCCGTGGGTCCTGCCCTGCCGCCTGCATTCCAGCCACGGAGCCCCTCAGGCTTCCAGGCTTCCTCCCCCTCCCTGGTGGGCCTGGCCCACTTCTGGGCTGCTGAGGGTGGGCCCCACAGCACAAAGCAGTCAGGGAAGTCTGTGGAGCCCCCCTGGCTGAAGGGTCTTGGTTCTGTAGAGCAGCTTCAGGCATAGCTCACAAATCAGGGTCTCCCTGGTGGTGTGGAGGAAAGTTTGCACCCGCCTACCAGGGCACCATTGATCTTCCCACCAGGGGATGTGAAAGCAACTGACACGCCAAGCATCTGTTAGCCTTGGGCCCTGGGGTACCAAGGGGAGGGAGGTCTGGAAGCTGCCTCCCCTCATCTCACCTGGAGAAGGCAGGTACCAGCAGCAGCCACCAAAGGGAGCACACAGAGTGCTGCCCTGTGCTGCAGCACTGTCCCATTGCCAGCTCACTTGTCCTCCTAATAGCCCTGCCAGGGCCCTGCGAGGCTTTGTTGTCCCATTTCATGGTGAGGACACTGAGGCTCCACAGCCTATGGACTCTGGAGCCTGCGGAGAGGACTTGGGGACCCCCTGCCATTGAGCTGTGACTTTCAGCCACCTCTTCTAGGAGCCAGGGGTGGTGGGTTATGGGCCCAGCTGCTGGGGATGGGTCCCATGATAGGATGGTGGTCTGAGCTGCCCACCCCCCTCAGGACTCCAGTGCCCCAGGGGACAGCCTGGGAGAGGACTTGGGGACCCCCTGCCATTGAGCTGTGACTTTCAGCCACCTCTTCTAGGAGCCAGGGGTGGTGGGTTATGGGCCCAGCTGCTGGGGATGGGTCCCATGATAGGATGGTGGTCTGAGCTGCCCACCCCCCTCAGGACTCCAGTGCCCCAGGGGACAGCCTGGGAGAGGACTTGGGGACCCCCTGCCATTGAGCTGTGACTTTCAGCCACCTCTTCTAGGAGCCAGGGGTGGTGGGTTATGGGCCCAGCTGCTGGGGATGGGTCCCATGATAGGATGGTGGTCCTGAGCTGCCCACCCCCCTCAGGACTCCAGTGCCCCAGGGGACAGCCTGGGAGGGGACTTAGGGACCCCCTGCCATTGAGCTGTGACTTTCAGCCACCTCTTCTAGGAGCCAGGGGTGGTGGGTTATGGGCCCAGCTGCTGGGGATGGGTCCCATGATAGGATGGTGGTCCTGAGCTGCCCACCCCCCTCAGGACTCCAGTGCCTCAGGGGACAGCCTGGCCCAGAGCTAGGTGTGACCTGTGGCTCTGCTGCATGAAATAGGAGCTCCTCTGGGGGTCTCAGCTGATTTCTCAGCAGGGTGTTGCCTTTGCTGACTTCTAGGAATCTGTTGGGTAGGAATCAGTTCCCACAGGGCTCCATCCCAGCCTATGTGCCCCAGACAGGGCAGGAAGACATCTCTGAGCTGGCATGGTGCAGCCCTGTGGCCAGGACACCCAGGAGGTGGCTCCTGTGCCCAATATCTGTCCAAGCCACTGTGAGGACCAGGGTGTAAGAGCAGGGAAGCGGGGCTCCAGGGCCATCACTGCCACTGTGTCCTCTGGTCCAAGCAGAGCCATCCCTATGCCTAGGAAACAAGGGCAGAGATGGAGAGGCATCTCCCCTTCCCCTCATGCCAGCCCTGCTCCCATCCTGGGAAAGGGGCTCCCTTCTGCTGGCCACGTTTCCTTCCTGGGGGTGGGTGGCAGCCAGGGCCGTGACCCCCTGCTGTTATTCTCCGTCCCCTGCTCTGCCTCCTAGGCTCCACCCCCATGCCATCTGTCTCCCTCCTGCTCCTTATGTTTGCAGTTGTTTTTCTCTGTGAGTGAGTTAACAGGGAAAAATAACAGTAACATAAAAACACCTCCCAGGCAGCCCAGGAGGGGACCATCCAAGGCCTTTATGGGGCCATAGATGGGACTGCTGGCAGCTGCGGCCCCACTGGCCCCTTCTGCCCCTCCCCAAGCTCTAGCTTCCGGTCTGGCCCTGTGAGCTTCAGGGGAGTTTATGGATGGAGCTCCATCTCCTGGCCTGTCTGAGGTTGACTCTGCATTGTAGGGGTAGAGCAGCCTCAGTGCCCAGGAGGCTATAGGGTCCAGCTCAGATCTCACCAGGGTCATCACCTGGGAGCTGGTCCCTTCCACGCAGCGCCCTCTGGAGGCTGGAAGGGATAAGCAGGCTCCAGGCTCCCCAGAGTCAACTGGCTCTCCCCATCCCGGGGTTCAGGAGAGGTGAGGCTGCACCTCCTGCAGAGCAGCCCCACTGTCCCCCTGAGGAGCATGGGGGACAGGGCCCTCTCCCCACCCAGGCTCCAGGACACTGGGAGCCCCTGTGGATGGGGTTGCTCCGTGCCTTCCTACTCGGCCTGATCCTCCCACCGTTTAGTTCCCGAATCGGCTTACCAAGGAGTTCCATTCTCAGAGATGTGTGATTGTGGGGCCTCACGTCCCCACCTCTCTTTTCGGCACGTTGGAGGCTCCTGCCTCACACTCACCAAAGGCTGACCTCAGCATTCCTCCCCCAGAGAGCACCCTGGGGCCCCAGAGATAAGAGATGCAGCTCAGACAGGAGCCAGGCATAGGATAGTCCAAAACTGAGCCAGGGGTGAACCTCTGAAGGGTCTTGGGCCTTCCAGACCCATAGGGGAGCTGCTGAGGAGCAAGCCCACCCCTGTGGGTGTTGGCCCTGGGTACTTTAGATGAGCAGTGGGGCCCGACTCTCTTCTGTGTGGTACTGGGGGTATGGGGGAAGGAGCTGGGGGAGTCTGGGAGCTCCCAGGCCTGGGATGCTGCTGGAGCCCAAGCCAGGGACTCCTCAACGAGGGTTGAGGGGTCCTTGGACTTCTTCCCTGTTGGAGCTTCCAGGCCATGTTCCCCTGAGCCAGCACCTCCTTTCCCAGGGCAAGGGAGCACTTGTGGTTCAAATAGAGCAGGATCAGCTGGGGGGAGCTGAACACACCCACAACATTGCCCATTGCCCGAGCCATAAGGGTGAGCCGTCCTGATCACCAAAGGAGGTGGGTGCTTGGCTACCTAGAGGGACCATAGAGATGCCTCTGATGTCCTGGGCTCTCCCAACCCTGCTCGCACATCCTTTGTGCCCTGTCCCAGGCTCAGGGCATAGAGGTGCTGGCTTTGGGAAGGAGCAACAGAGGGAGAGTGATAGCACCCAGCCTGACCAAGACTGGACAGAGGGGACCACAAACCCTCTCATGAACACTTTGCAGACTGTCCTGAGCTATCCCAATATCACTGCCCTGTCCTGGCTCCTGGAGAGGGGGAGGGCACGGGTGTATCTTGGGAATTTCTTGGTTAGTTTTGGCCCTGGCCTCTGGCTGAGGTTGGACACCACAATGCCTATGATCTTGCAGGAGGGACATCAGGAACCACACGTGTTCTAAACCAAATATTCTATTAGACTTTAACCAGCAAGAAGAGCTGAAATCCCCCCAGTTCTCTTGCTGGGGTTGGGGTTGGGGTTGGGGGGATCAGTCATGGCATCCTAAAGCCCTAGAAGCATTCTCAGGCCACTGATCTGGTCTTTTGGTTCATGTCCAGGCCCCAGGGAGCCAGGCTGTGCTTCCAGATGGGAGCCTGGGACCAGGTCTAAGCCCTGGGCAAGCCAGGATCACTTGGTGTGCTCATTCCTCACCCACACAGAGGCCGGTTTGGGCACCTCGGGCACAAGGAGCTGTATGCCTAAGAAGAGCCCATTCCAGCAGGGAGGCTGCCTTGTGGAGGTTCAGCCTTCCCTCCCCAGCCTCTCCACATGCAGTTGCCTATGGAGGACGTGGGCGGCTTCTGGAAAGGTCACTCGGCCCTTTCCTGGCTCCTGCAGGCCTCTGCGGTCATTATCCCCTGAGGGACCGTAGGAATTACAGCCCAGGGAGTTGCTCTTGAGCCCGGGCACTGGGGCTACAGCAGACTGCATGGGGCCCAGGTCCAGGGGTGCTGGGACAACCTGGAATGGGAACAGAGTCCCTGATGGATTTTGCCCTCTGGAAGCCAGCAGTCTGTAGGCACCAGGTGCACCACAAGATTGTAGTGGGAAGTCCATCTTGAGTAGCATCACCCATCCCCTGAGCTGTCCTCGCTGGGAGAGAGGAAGACGGGACTGGGAAAGCCTGAGGTGAGGTCCCAGAGAGTCCAGCGTGGGGGAGCTCTGGGGGAGGCCCCTGATGACTCTACTTCATCCTCTTCTATGACAGGTGCCACAGTGGTGAGTGAGCTCCACAGGACCTGTCACTTGAGGGAGAAGTGCTTTAGTGGGACCACGGGGCCAGGTTCAGAAGAGCCCCCTGTTGGCTTTCACCATCTGGGAGCCAACAGTCTTCAGCTTCCAGAAGCAACACGGGGATAGACATGAAGGCCCACTGGGGTAAGCCCTGCAGTGGGCTGGACCCAGAGACCATGAGTCCCCCTACTCTTCTTCCTCCCACAGAGTCTCAATGAAGGCCGTTTTTGGATTTCCAGTCACTGGTGGGTGGGGTGCTAATGTCAGGGGATACGCTTGTAAGTCAGAACTGGGAGGCCCACCCTGTCCTCTCGGAAGGTCATCTTGCTACCTCTGAGGTTTGGGGAAGGCCTAGGCTGCAGGGAGATGAGCTCCAGGCCTAGGAGCCTGCTGCACAGTTCCTCTGGTCTCGCTGGGAGGAAAGCAGACTTGATTTGCCTCTCCACATATCTCATGTGGCCCACAGGGCAGGCCCCTTGGATGTGGATCCCTGGGGTCCTCCAGGTTCGTGCCTGGTCCCCAGCCTGTGATCCAGAGGGAGGGCTGTGTGCATCCTCAGCAGTAGGAGCTGCTCCTGGGTGGCACCTTGTGGGCTGCGTTGGCTCCAGGTCTTTCTCTCTCATGTCAGAGGCTAGAGGATTTCACTACCCATTTCCTATCCAACTGTAACCTAATACACGGGTTGCTGAGGTCTGAATGTCCATGTACATCCAAGTCAATATGTGAAACTTGAAGTTTAACACGGGTGGAATTCAGAGGTAGGATCTTGGGGTAGAGATGAAGAGGTGGGCAGGGAGCACCCTGGGACCTTTTCGCCCCTGTACCTTCTGCCATGTGGAGGCCCCGGGCCTCAGACCCTCATCAGGCACCCAATGTGCTGCTGTCTTCATCCTACATTTGCAGCCTCCAGGATTGTCAGCAATCAATTTCTGTTCTTTATGAACAGTGTTGAATAGTCTGTGATCACCTCGGGAATGGACTCTGACAGAGTCCAGTGAGGGAGGGGCCCCCAACTCAAGGGCCCCTCTGCCTTCAGGCCACCCAACCCCCGGCCAGGATTGTACCCTTTCCAGGCTCAGCTCAGCTCTGGAGCTCTGCCCCTGAGCCTGCGGGGCCACGCTCTGCTCTCCCACCCACAGGTGCGCTCAGGCACCTGTGCTTCCCAGGTGACCTTTAGGAGACAGACAGGAAGGCATAGCTGAGGGGCTCAGTGAGCTCTCACCACTGCCCCACCCTGCCTCTGTGGCCTCCCCTCACCCCAGGGAGGCTCCAAGTGTGCACCGGGACCCTGGGCCCAGTGAAGCCCTCCAGGGAGGGCCAAGCCTCCAGAGCTCAAGAGAGCCAAGGATTCAGGCCTGACCTCCTGACCAGAACCCAGCTCCCAGCCCTGAGACCAGGGCGCTGATGGGAAAACCTTCAAGGGGGCTGTCCAGGAATCCAGTGTGTCCTGAGGCCCCCAGGCCAGGTTTTCCAAAGCTTAGAGCAGAAGTGGAGGAAGAAGGCAAAAGGCAGGGCAGGGCTGCTGCTGCCTGAGCACTTCCACCCCTGACGCATCCAGGAGGCAGAAGGCACTTCTGCAGCTGTCTTGGATCCCTGGAATGGCCGTAGTACTGGTGTCATCATCCGAGGCTCAGGCCTGACGCAGCCTCTCCTGTAGGTATTGGGAGAGCCTGTCCCCAGGGCAGCGGCAGGAGGAGCTCTAGACACAGTGGGGAGCCTCAGGCCAGGGAGGCCCAGGCAGAAGGGGTGGCACCCACAGCCTGCTCCACCCTACCTCTCCTGCTGGATGCTGCCAGGGCCACTCTTGGGTTAAGGCCTACATAGGAAGCCATGGCCCAGGGGAGGCTGGACCAGGAAAGGGCCCCACCCACTCCTGTCCAAGATTGATGGTAAGTTGGGAGGGTTCCAAGAGGCCCCCACTGCCTTGCTCAGTCCAGCACACTGGGCCTGCCCCTGCCTGTTTCCTCCATGCCCTGCTCTTTCAGGCCAAGTGGTGACTTCTCCCCCCACCCCCACCCCACTCCATCCCTACCACCCCGGGGTGGCCCCAGAGGACTTCTGTGAATTTTGAGGACTATGTAGGATGTGACTGTGCAGAGGCTGTCCTTCCAAGATGTACATATCCCACAGTCTCAGAAAGGAAGGGGTCCGGAGAGGAGAGCAGAGTGGGAGGACCAGGCCTGAGCAGAGTTCCAGAGTTCCAGGGCCCCTGGTACAGGGAGAGACCCCAGTGAGGCTGCATCCGACATGGCCCTGCAGCTCCTGGTGGCAAGGGACTCATCTCAGCATGCAGAGCCACTTCCAGTTTTAGTATGTGCTGCCATAGTGAGCACGTGGTGCCACTTCTGAGGGGGCTCTCGTCTCTGGCCGTTTCGGGGCCCTTAGGGCCCAGAGAGAAGGTGACAAGGAGGCCTGCCTAGCACAGCCACTAGCCTGGGAGCCTCAGAGGCTGCTCTGTGCTCTGCGAGAAGCACCAAGGCACCAGCTGCAGCATGGCCAGGGGTCAGTCCTCAGCCTGGGGCTGACAGTGGCCTGGTATCCAGGAGCAAGGCAGAGCGGCTCAGCTCCAGGCTGCTGTGGCCACCTCAGGGGCTTGTGGAGTCCCTTCTTCCACCCAGAGTGGGGCTTGATCAGGTCCTCCTGTGATGCTGAACCTGAGACTTGCCCTCTGGCGTGGGGATGTCGCCTCTGTGTCAGGGCCTTGCTAGTCTGCCCAGCAGGGACCCTTGTGTGGCTGCTAGGTGTGGGGGGTACCCGCAAGCCCTTCAGGAGGGAAATGTGACACTGAGCCAGCAGAGCACATGCTAGTGGCCAAGAGCTTCCCAGGTCACAGGGTCTCCTTGTGTACCCTTACCCTGTCAATGCAACTGTGGTCAAACCGTTTCTGAGTGAAGGTCTTGGCAGACACTCTCCATCTACCGGAATGTCAGAGGGGCTCAAGACTCATGGTTGGCCAACCTCCCTATTCTGGACCCCTCTACAGAGCCTCCCGTCAATAGCAGAATGCCCAGTGGCTGGGATATAGCGTCCATGTGCTTTACACCTGAACACCACCTGGAAGATTGTGTCCTGGTACCTGTGGCCTCATCCAGGGAAGGAAAAGGAAACCAAACCCCTGAGTCTTCTGCAAAGCATACAGCCCAAGAAAGTCCCCGGCCAGGCCACTTGGTTTCTCATCAACCCAGAAAAGGCTTGGTCCCCACCCCCCACCCCCAACTCAGGGGACCCAGAGCCCATGGGGAGTGCGCAGAGGGATACTTTTACATACCAGGTGCTCCTTTAATTTGGGCTTTGCATGGCTAGTGATATTGTTGTTGTGGTTTTGCAGTGACTTCAGCTGGGGGAAACCAGGCTTATAGAATCCTGAAAAGCCCCCAGTCCTTCCCCCATCAAATCAGAGCCTGACCGTAGGGAGGTGGGGCCATCAAACACCTGGTATAGGGGGCTCCTGAGCACTCAGGGACAGGGGCGGTTCTGGCAGGGTCAGCTAAGGGCAGAGGAGTAGGGGAGGAAGGTGGGTGGAGGTAGTAGGCCCTTGGAGCTTAATCGGGGCTGACTGGGGGAACTCCAGTGGGAGCTGCAGAGAACATAGTCATTGCTTGGGTTCAAGAGTGAGGCTCAGTGAACCAGGATGGGCCATCCTATGGCTTTGGAGAGGACAGATGGGAGATCCAGAAGGGCCACCAGGGGCATAAGTATCACCTGGACAGAGAAGGGACTGAGGGCTGGACACACAGCACAGGGAAGGCTACAGATGGGAAAACAAAGGGTCTGACTTGGTGTGCAGGTGCCCTCTGCCAGCCCTGACTCCTGTAGGATCCTCCAAATGGGCCCTCTCCTGGACACTGAGGTGGTAGTGGAGGCATATTCACCTGGGCAGTGTGTCCACCCGCCCCACTCTCAGCCTGACTGTGTGAGGCCACCTACCTAGCATCATGTCACATGCCTGTGGTTTGTCATCAGCTGAACCGGGGCCCAGAATACCACTTCCACATTCAGGAACGTGAGGAGCTAGCCAACACCCAGTTCATGCCCTGCCTGTAGCCCACCTCCTGCAAGAGCCAGTGACGTCATGGAAGGGCATCACCTGGCAGAGCTGCTCTCCCTGGGATGCTGACCCCACCTGCGAGCGCTGACCTCACTTGGGAGGCATCACTTCCTGTTCTCACAATGTGTGGTCAGCTCTAAGGAGAGCCTTGTGCCGGGCCCCACCCCTCTGTGGTTCCGTCCACATCAGTCAGGCCTCACCGTGGACTTGGATCTCTGTGACCTGGTCAGCTGGCCCTCCTGGGAACAGGGCCTGGAACAGCACCGTGGATTACTCACGTTGTCAGATGCAGAGAATGCCAGGAGCATGTGAAACAGTGCCTGCGGCCTGCGAAAGAGGAGAGAGAGGACTGTTCTGCTCCCTTGCTGCCCGCCGAGCCTGCTTGGTTTTGTCTGACCGATCCTGCCGGCAACACTGAGCACTGACTCAAGTTCTCTGTCAAGAGCAGTTGGGTCTCGGAGCAGCTGGGTGTTCCTACAGTTTTCTGGTCAAATCTGCCTCTGATGACAAGGGTCACCTGGGGGTAGCTCATGCCTTCCCGTTTTCAGTCCAGTGGGTGTTTTTGAGGTTTGCGCACAGGGACATGTGCTCTGTGGGAGGCTCAGTCCAGGCCTTTGGCCCATGTGGAGTCTCCCAGCCCCAGCCCAGCAGCTCCAGGAGCAGCTCCTTCCTCCTTGTGTCCCCTCAGGAGTCACACTCTCCCACTCCCCCAGAGCCCCTGGTAACCATTGCTTTCTCTTCTGTCCCCATGGCTTGGCTTTTCCCAGAATGCCCTATGACTGGAGTCCCAGCATGGCGGCTTTCGGGTCTGGCTTTTCCCAGAATGCCCTATGACTGAAGTCCCAGCATGGCGGCTTTCGGGTCTGGCTTCTTCCACGGTGTACTTCAGTGGCGTCTTCCTCCTTCTCACCCACTCCTGTTTCAATTCTCCTGCTGAACTCATTGAGGTCACTTCAAGTTTGTACTGACTATGGATAAAACAGGAACCTTGCCTGCAGGATTTTTGTGGAGTTAAAGCTGGTTGGGTGAATAGCTATGTACACAGTTTGGGGTCAGATGGTGGGTGGAGAAGAAACAGCCACACTGTCTTGCAAAGTGGCCGTCCCATTCTGTGTTCCTGCGTAGCCGTGAGTGAGAATTACCACAGCCCCTCATTGTTAGCCATAGAGTTGTCAGTGTTTTGGGTTTAGCCACTCAGAAAGGTGATCCTACCACTTTTCAAGTGTGTATTTGATGAAGCATCTATTCTTTTAAAAAAATATATGAGAGAGAGAGAGAGATCTTCCATCTGCTGTTTCACTCTCCAAGGCTACATCAAGCTGAAGCCAGGAGCTTCACCCAGGTCCCCCACAGGGGTGTAGGGGCCCAAGGACTTGGGCCATCTTCTGCTGCTTTTCCCAGGCCATTAACAAGGAGCTGGATTGGAAGTGGAGCAGCCAGGAACACAAACCAGTCCCATGTGGGATGCCAGCACTGCAGGTGACTTTACTCACAACACCACAGCACTAGCCCCAAAGTGTATGTTCTTTGATGAAGTCCCTTCAGATATGGTGTCCAGTTATGTGGTGGACAGTCAAAGATGTTCTTGAGGCTTAAGAATTCTTTGTATATTCTGGATGTGAATCCTTTTGTTAGATGTGAATTTTGCAAATACTGTCTTCCATTCTGTAGCTTTTGATTTCATACTCTTCACAATGTCTTTTATAGAGTAAATGTGTTTGATTTCAATTAAATTCCTCTGACCAATTGTTTATTTTACTCATGGACTGTGCTTTTGGTCTTCCTCTAAAAGCTCGTCACCAAATCAAAGCAGATAATCTGTTTTCTTCTAGGTTTATGAATTCAGAGTTACTGTTAGATTTGTAAATTAAATTAGTTTTACAGGGGCCGGCGCCGCAGCTCACTTGGCTAATCCTCCACCTGCAGCGCCGGCACCCCGGGTTCTACCCAGTTGGGGTGCTGGATTCTGTCCCGGTTGTTCCTCTTCCAGTCCAGCTCTCTGCTGTGGCCCGTACCCGCATGGGAGACCAGGGAGAGGCACCTGGCTCCTGGTTTTGGATCAGTGCAGTTTGCCAGCTGTAGTGGCCATTTGGGGGGTGAAGCAACGGAAGGAAGACCTTTCTCTCTGTCTCTCTCACTGTCTGACTCTGCCTGTCAAAAAAATAAAAACAAAATAATAATAATAAAATTTAAAAATTAGTTTTACATAAGGTAATTTAGGTTTTGTTTTTTGGAAACTCTGAGATTTTTGCAATCATGTCATCTGTGAATAAAGACAGTTTTGTTCTTCCTTTCAGAACTGTCCACATTTTATCTTTCTCTGTTCTTGTTCCCTAGGTGGAACTTGTAGTACAATGTGGGGAGGGAACATTCACCTTTCACTCCAGATTTAGGAGAAAGCGTTCAGTCTCAGCACAAAGAAGCAGTGGTGGGTTCACAGATCCCCTTGCCTAGGATGAGTGTATGTTCACACCTATTCTCCATTCACTGGGGGTCTTTGTCATGAGCAGGGGATGAACTGTGGCAAAGGCTAATTCCAGCATCTCCTGACAGGTGCTCCCCTTGCATTGTTTTACAATGGAGAACTAATAGCTGGGTGGATCTGTACACATGGGTCCATTATTATATTCCTGGATGACTCCTGCTTGGTCTCTATTTCAGGTCTTGTGCAATTAGAAGTCGTAAGTCCTTAGTGTTCACGCCATTTGGGACATTGGTCCCAACCACACCACGGAAACTGTTGTGGAGTTTCAAGTCAAATTCCTAGAGCAGCTGTGGAGGCAGCCTAGGAGCCCTGACCTGGGGGACTTGGAAGGAGCCAGAAAAGGCACAGACCCCAGGGCCCAGACCTTCTGACCAGGTGAGTGCCAGCGGCCTGGCCTGGTGACTACAGAATACCTGGACCTCAGGTCAGACATCCCGGGGACTCCAGTTGGGTCCCAGCAATGAGGTGATGTCCTCCTGGCCAGTGGACAAGGACCTCTGGTATGCAGCTTTGACCTGGCACAGGTGGGTTTCTTAAAACTGTTGGGGTGAGCGCTGTGGCACAGCAGATTAAAGCTCTGGCCTAAAGCACAGGCATCCCATATGGGCACCGGTTCTAGTCCAGGCTGTTCCTCTTCAGATCCAGCTTTCTGCTATGGCTTTGGAAGGCAGTGGAAGATGGCCCAGGCCTTTGAGCCCCTGTACCCACATGAGGACCTGGAGGACGCTCCTGGCTCCTGGCTTCAGATTGGCGCAGCTCTGGCCCTTGTGGACATCTAGGGAGTGAACAAGTGGATAGAAGACCTCTCTCTCTGTCTCTACCTCTCTCTGTAATTCTGTCTTTCAAATAAATAAGGTAAATTTTAATAAAAAAAAAAAAACTCTTACAGAAAGCTGGATGGGGAAGTTCCCTTAGTTCACATGGGCACCAGAGGTTGAGTGGAGGATCAGAAGTTTATTAACATCGAAGGGCTCGGTAAAATTGCTTCCCAAGACTGAGCATCCAATCTAGGGTTCTTAGAATATTTACAGGTTCATCAGCACCAAGCCTCACCCTTCACAGCATTGGTGGGTTGGGTTGCAGCCTGCCTGATTCAGGACCACCCATGAGGAACTTGAGACCACATTTATGGGGAACTTGAACAGGGGGTTTACAGAGAACTGAAATCAGGACACCTGCCCAGACACACAGACACCTATGAGGAACAGAGATTGTGGCATCTGCCCAGACACATCAACACCTATGGGGAACTGGAATAGGGATTTCAGAAAACAGAGATTAGGATATCTGCCCTCCTTAGGAGTCTGATTTTTCTCCCTTGTCTCTGGACCCAGCCTAATTTCCTCTTCATTTCCCCCTTTGGTGCCCTCTTAATCATTCTAGGAGGCACGATTTTTATTTTATTTATTTATTTTTAATTAATTGGTTGGTAGCTTTGGAAGAGCATCTGGAACTTTATGGCAGAGACAAATTGGGGTAACACGTTAATGAGGCAGGGACAAAAAAGAAGTGCTAGAAAAATCATGAGGAGAGGTCTGGACAGCAAGAGGAGCCAGGATGCCCAGCTCCATATATTGCCCCCAAAGCTCTAAAAATTAGCTATTTGTGTGTGTGTGTGTGATCTTTTCATTAAGCTGTTGGACCATATCTCTGACCACTCCTGATCTGTTGACATAAAAACAGCACTGTTTGTTTCAGAAAAAGGCAAACTCCGCCCTTTCTGCAGTTAGTAGGTCAAGTCTCCTCCCCCTGTTTTGCAGGACCACTGCTGCTAAGGCGTGTAATTGATCTTGGAGGACCATTAATGACTTAGCAACTTGTTCTGTATCATACTCTAGCTGTTCTTACCAGGCCAACTATTAAGGGTATGACCTGGAAGGCTCTTTTTTACTCAGACTTGCTTGGCTACCAGTATAGGAAGAGTTTGGTTACAGGGGACAACGTATATTTGGTGAATGAGAAAAGCCAAAGTTTGCACTGGCCGTTTGCTAACTCACTTATTGGCTTTTGTCCCTACTTTATTGGTAATGCACTCAGAAGCATTCTGGATAAAACACAGACTACTATAAGAAACAGAAAAGCTCCTCTGGACACACCCATTACTATTATATAAAACATGGCTAGAGCAACCCTTTGTGACCGGTTCCCATTTTTTGAGGCCACCTCAGCTAAACCTATGGAAAGCAGCAAGGTCAATATTATCATAGCCCCAACGGGATAGGGCAGCATCATAACCCTAGGTCTCAAGTGTCGCTTGTTGAGATCCAGGCTTCTGCCGTGCATTGATCAGTTGGCTCCCAGGTTTGTGACTGGAGCAGGGCTGCAGGTTTCCCAAGCTTCAGCAGTGCATAAATCAAGCAGCCTCCAGTGTGGTCAAAGCAGGAGTGTCATCCTCTGGAATTCTTTTGGAAGCCTCACCCTGGGAGGCCTCCTGGGGTATGGCTCCTTTGTCCTGGATGTTCAGCTTGTGCAGTGTTGTCAGATCAGAGTAAACACAGCTCTTTTGTATCTTTAGAGCCGAGAACTCTAACTCTGATGCAATCCCATAGTTCCAGGGGGTTTGCAGGTAACCAGGTACCTGGAAATTTAGAAGTAACAGCCAAAGCCTAGGAACAGATGTGACTGGTGTGAAAATTTACAACCTGGGCCTCCCTTTTTACTTCTTTAAACAAAATAGTCAATAATCAGACCTTACACTGAGGTCATTGACCACAGATTATAGCAGCACAGCAGAAACCTAGTGTAAGTGAGGACAGAGTGTGAATCTCTAGGCTGGCCTGAGAGGAAAGCTGGCCTCAACAGGAGATTAGTATAGAGCAGGAAGCATCTCTAGCAGGAAACTTAACAGTCCTGCCTGTAATGTTAAAGACCATAGGCCATCCCCTTAATAGCAGTGGTTACTTTGGAAGCTGGGTGTGTTAGGCAGGAAGTCAGAAATTGAGCCTATATGTGTGTGTAGAGACAGGCCTGAAGACCAGCACCTACTGCAGAAGCCCAGCATCTTGCACTTCAAAGTCCTGCCCAGACCCTGATAACCTCCCAGGTGGTCCCAGCCCTTCCCCCAGGGAAAACTCCCAGAAGAATTCTCCCTTCTCAGGACCAAATGGATTACCTGACCTGATAACATGAGACAATAAAACCTTCTCAGATGCCCTAAGGGAAGCCCTTGTACTCTGCTGGCACCAGAAAATCTGGGGAGGAATTTGCTACTTTTCACCCAACCTTTCTGCTAGGACTCTCAACCCTTTTTCCTGCAGGAGAAGGGGAAGTGAGTAAACAGACTCCCTTAAAAACCTAGGGAATCCAGACAGACTGGATGCTCAGCCCTCTGCCTCTCAGCTGAGTCGCCAGCCTGGCCTGCCCAGGTGTATTCTCTCCATTCAACCGTGTAACCTCACTCAGGGAACCTCCGAGTGACTAGGCGCTCCTTCTCTCTGTCCCTTCCGTTCTGACTGATGCCCTATCCCCAAAAAAGCCCTGTCACTCTGCTCTTTTTCTTACACCTGAATTCTTTCTTGGTGAAGACAAGAACCCCACGGCTTCCACGGCCTTTCTTGTGATATTTCAAACCAAAGCACAAACATACCAATGACTTTTAAAAATTTTAGTTTTTTTTCTTTTTAGCAACAAGGTTTTGTTTTGTTTTGTTTTGTTTTGTTTGGCAGGCAGAGTTAGACAGTGAGAGAGAGAGAGAGACAGAGGGAAAGGTCTTCCGTTGCTTCACCCCCCAAATGGCTGCCACGGCCGGCACACTGTGCTGATCCGAAGCCAGGAGCCAGATGCTTCCTCCTGGTCTCCCATGAAGGTGCAGGTCCCAAGCACTTGGGCCATCCTCCACCGCCTTCCTGGGCCACAGCAGAGAGCTGGACTGGAAGAGGAGCAACAGGGACAGAATTCGGCGCCCCAAGCGGGACTAGAACCCGGGGTGCCAGCGCCGCAGGCGGAGGATTATCCTAGTGAGCCGCAGCACCAGCCAGCAACAAGTTTTAAAAAACCTATTTAGCAAAGATTTATTTATGTCACATAAGTCAAAAAGCTAATTTGTGTTGATTTAGCAGTTTTATTTTATATGAGCAATCTTTTATGTATAAGCCAATTAAAACAGAGCCTTTAATAAATTTTTCCAAGCAGACATGCAATATGTACACACAAGTAACACAAAAAATATGTATGTGGAGGACAGAACAATAAAGCAATTTCTGTTATGCCCAGTTCGACCATCAAGGAGCCGATACCACTGTAAAATGCAAAAGAATTTTTATTACAGGTCCGGGCCTGGGCTCTCAACTATCATCAACACAGCGGATTTGAATTGAGAGCCCCCGCCTCTTCAGTTAACAGGGTTTTTATAGGGTTTTCAGACATTCTATACATTATAGTACCATTTAGCAAATCATCTCATCCCGCAGAAAATTTAAAGGACATCTCTTAGAATTGATTAGTGCATCCAGTGGTGGGAATGGACCTAGCAAAGGTGGCTGAACGGCTTTGGGGTTGATGCCTTTTAAATGGATTGGCTAAAGTATAGGGTCCGAGCTGCTTGGGTGTAGTGCCAAACCACAGGGTCTCGGGATGTTATTAATCACCTTAACTGCCCAGAAAGGACACCAGGAACTTTAGGTATTTCTCTGCTATCTGTTATTTGGCTGTTGCTAGGAGAGTTTATTGCAAGGGGAGTTCATTTATTTATTTTTAGGAGCTTCTGGCTCAGGGTTCAGGGCCCAGTCAGGCCTGAGTTACAAGATGGAGGCCTATTTTAAAATAGTTGCACCTTGATCTAGGCTCAGGTCTCTCATTTCAGTAACAATGAATTTGTTGCCCAGAGAAGCAAAGGGTCCTTGTCTTTACGCAAGAAAGAATTCAGGTGAGACAGAGAGCAGTGGAAAGCAAAATAGCAAGGTTTATTAGGATAGGGACATTCGTAAGAACTGATGGGCACCTCTCCAGACAGAACCTGAGAGAGAGTGTGCTGTTCACATTTAGGCTGAGGTTTTTAAGGGCATGGGTCTTGCCTTCTCTCCCCCTCTCCTCCTTCTCCTCCTGAACAAAGGACTTGTTGGGTGTAAATAGGAAAAATTCCTTTCTTAGTTTTTCCCCCTGAAGGTATCAGACACTGGAAGGTCATCAGGATCCAGGCAGGACTTTGAAGTGCAAAATGCTAGGCTTCTGGAGCTTCCACAGTGGGTACTGGTCTTTAGGCCTTTCTCATACACACATAGACTCAATTTCTAACTTCCTACCTAACAGTCCCAGCCCTTCCCCCAAGGAAAGCTCCCAGGAAAATTCTGATAACATGGGGCAATATAACCTCAGAGGCCCTAAGGGAAGCTAGTGTAGTCAGCTCAGCACCAGCAAATCTGGGGAGGAATTTGCTAATTTTCACAAAACAAACCCTTCCACCAGGACTCTCCATCCTTTGTCCTGGAAGAGAGGGGGAGGTGGGTAAACAGATTCCCTTAAAAACCTAGGGAGTCTGTCGCTCCTCCGCGAAGAGGGGGAGCCACATAATGGTGCCGTGACTCGGATAGGAAACCCAGGAGGGAAGAAACAGGAAGAAGTGGGAAAATACCGGAGAGAGAGACTAGCAAAGAGCCTAGGGAAAAGCCGGACGGAAAAGATGCCGGAAGAAGCTGTTGAAAGCCTAGGCATAGACTCGGATACGGACTATGGTGGGGAAGCTGGGAGAAATCTCTAAGGTTGAAAGCGAAGGTGAAACCTAGAGGAAACTTAGACTTGGACATGGACTGTGGGGAGAAGCCAGGAAAAATGAGAGGGGAATATTGTTGGAAGAAAAGTTAGGAAACATACCGGGTAGAGAAAAATGTTAGGGAGGATGAAGCTGCGGGGGCAGGCTGAGGCGGAGATGTAACCTACCTTGGGATTCGTCGAGTCAGCCTGGGGAACAAGGGGCGAAAATCTGGAACCAGAGGCGGAGACGTGGGCCAGGTTGGAATCCATCAGATTAGCCCGGGGAGCAAAAGACGGGAAGCCAAACCGAAAGGTGCAGACGTGAGCTAGGTTGAATTCGCCAGGTTAGCCCGGGGAACTTAGACTGAATACCGGTGGCGGAAACGTGAGCTAGGCTGTGTGACTCGCGGAAGCTGCTGCGTGCAGAGAGAGCAGGGGGTGTGAATAGATAGGGAACGCGGGGCTGGCGCGAAGGCCGTGGTACGGACGCGAAGGGCGTGGAGACCGCGGAGCTCGCGAAGCCGAGCCGCACAGAGCCAGGAAGCTGTCGTAGGGCAGGCGCCGGGAAGCGGCGCAGAGCTGCAGAGCCGGGAAGCCGCCGCGGGGTGAGGCGCCGAGAAGCAGCCTCGGGGCGGGCGCCGGGAAGCCGAGGGGATAAGAGAAATGAAGTATAGAAGTAAAATGAGAGAAATAGGAATGCTGGCAGATAGAAGTAAAATGGGAGAAATAGGAATGCCCGGAGATAGAGAAATAGAGAAAAATAAGGCCTCCCCACAACATGGCAATGAGAGAGCTTGGATTCGGTCTGCCTGATTAGTAAGACGATAAGCACCTGCGGGCGGCTAGCAGCTTATGCGCCGCAGGTCACCAAAGACAGGCACGAATTAACATCAATAAATCTCCCCACAATACGGCAAGGAGAAGGCTTGGATTCGGTTTGCCTGATTGGTAGAGCTTGTAAGCACCTGCAGGCAGTTCTAGCAGAGCAGAGCATGAGCTGCAGGGCACCGAACACAGGCACGCATCAGCGCCTAAAAACCTCCTCACAACATGGCAAAGAGAGGACCCGGACTCGGTTTGCCTGATTGGTAGGGCTTGTAAGCACCTGTGGGCAACTCTAGCAAGTAGAGCAGAGTGTGTGCCGCAGGGCACCGAAGACAGGCGCGTATCAACGCCAAAAATAAAAAGAAAGGGGGATCTGTGGGGAGCAACTGGGAGCAACTCGGACTAGACTAAGTTACTGGAATTAAGACTTATTCTATGCATCTGCTCTCCCACAATATGGCGCTGGGAGAGGAGGAAACAGCTTCTACACAGCTGCCTCCGGTTCAACCAATAAACTGTAGGACCTGCTCCTGATTGGAGGAGAGCAGCGTACTCGGCGTGTGGGTAGCAGAGTTGGGATTGGTGAAAGAGGACTATAAAGGAGGAGAGAGACAACATGCACCAGGAACATCTATCTGAAGGAACACCTATGCAGCCCCCGAGAGAGCCGGCCGGCGGTGTGCCGCTCCCCCGCGGAAGTGGGGAAAGTGGCAGGGGGAACCGCCCTTCCACGGAGGTGGAAGGGACAGTAGCCAACCCGGGAAGAACCAGCAGCAAACCCGGGGAGGGCCGAGGAGACAAAAGAACAGCGCAGGGTCCTGTGTCGTTCCTCCGCGAAGAGGGGGAGCGACAGGAGTCCATACAAACTGTGCTGAGCTCAGCTCTCTGCTCTCTGCTGAGCTGCCCACCTGGCCTGCCCTTCCTTTCTGACAGATGCCCTATCCCCAATAAAGCCTTATCACTGCTCTCTGTCTCATGCCTGAATTCTTTCTTGCATGAAGAACCCCATGGCTTCCACTGCCTTCCCTTCAGTAACAGTAATAGCTTTTTAAAATCTTAAACTGCTTTTTTTAAAATTACCATTAATCTATTATAATTACTTCCTGCTCTTAGTAACCTGAGTTAGCCATATATTTTTCTCAGTTGGAACTGTTGTGTCTGAGCAAGTGCAAACAGAGGAGCACCACACATTGATAAAATTTGATGGTCCTTTATTGCTGGTGGTGGAACTTAAGAACTCTCCACCCTGAAGCTCATAGCAACAGTGTCTATAAAGGCAAAAACCACAAGGGGAGGAGGGCGAATACATGGTTGCTAGGATTGGGGGAAGTACATGATTACTAGAGTCAAGCTGACCTAAAGCCTATGTGAAACCAATATCAATTACATTCCTATCAATAGACAAGTTGCAATCTTAACATTAATCTAGGTGCAACCTATCTGTTTTAAGCTTGAGCAATCACGTTAGGGAGTCTGTGTTCTGTCAAGTGGGATGCAGTGTACTATTACCATCTAAGTTTTAGGCCATAGTTAGTCTCAGACCATAGTCTCACAGTGTGTGGTGCTTTCTCAAAATGGAGTCTCAGTGCTCTAAAATGGAGTCCCTACTATCAGGGTGTCTTCAGAACCTGTAGTCCATGGTTAAACTTTAGTATTATCTGTTTGCAGAACTATCCCAAAGTACAGAATACAACAGACTTCACAGGGAGTCTTTGTAACCCAGAAGACACATATAAACACATAATCAACAATGTTTTAATTTCCATGAGCAGTTTGTTATTGCATTCTTTTAATGTTGTGAAACCTTTTATCTAGTCCATTGATCTTTTTTTTTTTTTAAGATTTATTTGAAAGGCAGAGTTACAGGGAGGCTGAGGCGGTGGGGTGGGTGTCTTCCATCCCCTGGTTCACTCCCTAAATGGCTGCAATGCCTGGAGCTGCATTGATCTGAAGCCATGAACATGGAGCTTCTTCCAGGTCTCCCACAGAGATGCAGGGCCCGAGGACTTGGACCATCTACTACGGCTTTCCCAGGCCATAGCAGAGAGCTGGATCAGAAGTGGAGCAGCCAGGAGTTGAACTGGCAC